ATAAAACTGGTTAGCAGTGGCTTAGTAGGATAAGATGGCCCACTAAAAGATTACCATTTTAATGATCTCTGCGCATAAATCTTTTTTATCGCGTAATTACTTCAAGGTTAATTTTATAATAGTGCAACGTAAGTTGCCTAATTAGGTTCACTACCATCAATCACCTCAGAAAAGCAACCATCAAATAACCATTAATCAACACCAATTGTTACATATTCATCGTAAATTAAGCAACTTACAACTTCATCAACAATAACTGGTGCATCGGCAGCTTCCAGTTGTGCGATGATGTGCTTGTTCACTGCAAAAAAAATATTATACGGTTAGATGTTCAGTAGAAAACTTTAGACGTTTGTAGATGATGGAAGAATAAATTGAAATGTACATGAGATCTGACTAGCAGTGAAATTCAAAACTCGAGTTTCGTCCTGTTTGAGACTCGTCAGTCGGATGCTCCTGCATCCTAGAGTTGATGACCTAATTCTAACCACATTCCATCTATCCTACGAGCAAAGATGGATGGTGGCTAGCAGTGGAACCTGGGACACACGTTTAGTCCTATTCAGGACTCATCAGCTGAATGTACCTATATCACTGAGTTGATGTTCACTCCAAAACTTTAACCTAGTACCGTTCGCTTCAAACGCCATCGCGTTATCCATTTAACTACTGAATTGAAACGCACTTTCTGAATCCCACTACTAGCCACTAATCATCTCTGCTTATGTTTGTTACTTAATAGCAGTATCGAGGTAATCCTCACAGGATGCAAATATGCCAATAAAAATCTGATCAATTACAGTTTTAAATATCAATAAGAACATCCAAACAATCAATACAAAAATAAATATGTTATAATGGTTATTGTTATTATTATTATCATTATCATTATTAAAACAATCCACACAGAATGAACATAGATCCTGACTATGACTAACCAAATATTAACAACAGGATAATTCAAACCATTACAAATTAGATTGAAATTTAATTATCTTTTTTCTATTCTGAAATACTAATGAGTTCTGTTAGAAAAATGATTCGAAGAATTGAATTTAAATGTTTACAAAACTTTTTTATTTACTTTGGAATTCAATATATTAATGGAATAAGAAACTGATAAGTCATTTGTTATAACGATAGGTTTTCCATATTTACACGTATGGGACGTTAATTTACCTTAGACGAATATCTACACTAGATTCCCTGCCGGTGTCTATTCTATACGACTTCAACACAACTCAGATCAAGAACACGTGATTAGCCTGACTAGAACATAAATATAGTTCCACACAAAAACCCGACACAATACAACAACAATGAACAATCAATGATAACTCATCTGACATCTATCAGACTATCTACATGTCTGACTAAGCAAACAACCTATCATTATCATTTTCGTTCACACATCATCATTACAAACATTTGTTGGATGGAGGATTATTATCATTAACACAACCGATAATATCCTAAATTAATTTAATTATCAATTACAAGTTTTGTGAAGTAATTATAAGCAATAATTACTATAGTGTATATTATCAAACTTTACAAATTATTTCTAGGAATGAAGGGAATATCTAACAGATGATAAAATATATTCAAACGCAAATGAATTCTTTTTAATTGTGGATACATTCGTTTTATTTTATAAAAAATATCAACAATCCCCATTGTGTATCATCAGGCTTTGCCTTAATACACAGTAATATATATGAGAAATATTAACTCAGTCAAAACGATTTGTATGTCAATGATAATAATGGTCAATCTGCAAATGTTACATGTTCAGCATGAATCTGAAAACAGTTTGTCGATCCGAAAGTTTCCATGTGAATTATCAATTTTCATCGTTACAAGATTTACTGCGAAACGATTTCTACACATTAGATTGTAAATATTGTTCACTGAAAAGATGGGACTGTAATACTGTGATTCAAATGGTAGTGAGGACATGCCTGAGTCTCTTCAGTGCACAACTAAACGTTTATCGCTGCGATTAACTTGTTGAAAGTGGAGTGTTCCGACCAACATAACACTTCCACTAACAACTTATAGATACACACAAAAAGAGAAACAGAGAGATGGACAGTCAGACTCAGAAGTTTTATCCAGGTACTGATCAGTATGTGTAGTACCTAGAAATAATTTAGGTGGATGATGATAGTAAGTAGAAAACCCTCCTCAACCTACGTTTCTTGGAAGTTGAAACTCGTCAGTAAGGCGTATCTGGGAAAACTGATTTAGAACCTGAGTCAATCAGCTCCATAGTCTGAGACATAACTACTAAGCTATTTAGACCGTGACTACCTGTAGGAAAGAAACATTTGAAAATTAATTTATCACTGAGTAGTAGTGACTCATATTTTTTTAGTCCTTTAGTGCTGATCAAATTTGATGAGTCAAGTTCTTTTTTGGCTAATAGTCCTAAAGCACTGGACAAAAATTACTTTGATCACTATTTAATAAATAAGCTGATTGAAAACTTAATTTAGATTATTCTTATCTTCTTAAGAGATAAACAATTTCCAGGTACTTACGATCTACCGGTTTACCAGCAGGCAATTCACCATCTTTTAATTCTTCTGACTGTGGTTTGTAATTTCGAAATATCGGTTTGGGTAATTCTCCATTATCGCTATTGTTTAAGTGTATAATACTTTTATGTGATGCATTTTTCATACGTAATTGCTTTAGACGTTCTTTACGCCTTAAGGCTTCATCACGCATATGTCCTATGGATTGATCTGTTTCATGATTATCACTAGTCGTGTTTTCTTTATTTTCTGACAAAACTAATTCATCACTTCCATGTTCTGGTTCTTGATCAATATTGTCAAGTGTAGTCATCTAGTCTAAAATATTAACACAGCGAAAGTTTGATCAAAAATGCTACCAATCAAATTTAAAAACGATAATTTTAATGAAATAACAGAATATTTGAAATGGTTAGCAGCAAGTTTGAGTTCCCTGAATGAAGAACACTTTAACAGTGATTGGAATCCTAGAAAGTTTATCGGAATCCCAATTATGCCGAAAAACAACTAATAATTATAAAGATATGGCCAAAATACTGCAGAAGCTCAACTATCGACTAGTCTATGTGATGACTAAAAACCTTTCGGTTTATCGGCAGTTAAAATGTATATACATGGTATACAATTTTCGGCAGTCGCTGGAAAACTGAAATGAATTTGGTTTTTTTTCTTGTGGTAAAACACTAATTAAATATTAACCATCCCTATAGCAGCTGCTACCATGATGTGGTGGTTGGACTTGGATATTGTGATGATCTGGTTGAGTTATAATGGATGAAATATTAGTTCTCTTAGGTTCTACCATGTTAGGCGATTTGTTTAGGGAATGACCAGACTAAAAACAGTAACCCATCCCTTGAAATGTTTCAAACCAAGTTAACTCATGAAATTTACATGATCATCCGAACCTATGTTCATGAAAATTTCCGAACTAGACAGAATGTAACGGAATCAACCAACTATTATCATCATACAAAGAAAAAATTATTTTTTTACAATAATTAAAACAAATCTATGGATTTTAATCAATTTTACTGGGTTTTTTCTACAAACGGTGTGCGAATGAAATAAAAGTTTGACCGGAAATGAGAAGTCCAATTGGAAAAGAAGAGTGAGAAATGAATACACACGCACAAAGTAGACGAAATGATTAATATACACTGAAAGGAAACAGAATTCCTCGCTATTGTGACGTCGTTCTCATTCTCGAATAATATTAATAATAAGAATGAAGCTAATTTGGCTTAGAATAACAGAAAGAAAAACTAATTAAAGCTGTTTGATTATCCTAATCTTTTAAGACTCTATTATTACAAGCTGAGCAGCAAAAAGAGAAATCAAGATGTCTGTAGAAGAAAACACAAAGAAGGAGGAAGGCACGACAAAATAAACAGAGAATATTGAGGAGAAAAGCACATAATTTTCAAGCATTATCATTAACAACAATGATAAAACTATTTACACAAACTACTTGCAGTGATTTTGAAGTAGTATGTCAAAAACAAATAATAACAATATTTTTGAAGTTTTTTTCACTACTGAAAATAGAATCATAGAATGATTGGAAAACAGTCAAAAAAGACATCACATCAAATGGAGACAAAATAAAACATACATAACACCAAAAAATATCATACTAAGAGAAATGAAGGAATTTCACCGGGATATATAAAAATAGATATATATATGTACATAAGAATACATCAGCGAGCTGAAAAAAACAGGATTGAAAACTGAATGAAAATAAACTGACGTTTAATCTCTTTAATGTTTAGAAAGACCAGCGCTGGATATCAATCAGTCCAGTGTAAATGGTTGTAGGCGTGTTACTGTTGAATTATTTTCATATTGACAATGATCATTTAATAAAATATTTGTGCTGTAAAGGATGCCATTATTAATACTACTAGTAGTACACAACAGATCTGGGGCTGAATATTTACATGTTTCATAATGTCCGGTGGGAAGGAGTGAAGAATAAGAGATAGGAGGGGAAGCAAATTTATACATTTTTTCAGATAGAAAAGATTTAGTTTCATCGATTCTTTAAAATGTAACGAGTAAAATTAGCTTAAGTTGCTTGTAAATTAAGAAAAAACATAAAGAAAAGTACACCAGAAAGGACAATACAGAAAAACATGTATACAAAAAAGGGCGCTTAAAAATTACACGCGATTATTTATAATTAAAAGCCGAAAAAGTTGTCCATTGAACATATACACACATACATAGTACAAAAAAATATTCAACAAGAAAAAAGAGAAGACAGAAAAAAACGCTTCAAAAATTTGTTTACATACACTTTCTTTAAAATGTAACCATAAGTACAATACAAATAATAAAGAGGCTGATGATCATTTCATATTAGAAACAGAAGATAATAACTTTTGATATTCTGTCGATTGCTCTTCGTTAACTATTGTTTTACTCTGTTGATTTGGTTTTAAATATTCTGTACTATCACACTGTATTTGATCTTCTGTTCGATTTAATATATCATTAAAGCATAATGTTTGATTTTTTCTTTTACATTGTAATATTTCACTATTGATCTTATTAGATCTATGATCTGTAAGTGTAGAGAAATTAATATTCATAGAATAGGGTAGACAAATTGTCGGTGGACATCCAGTACTGCCACGAGTTAGTATAGTATTACTCTTATCATTATTACCATTATTAATGTTATCGGTAGTAGTAGTACTTAGAACATCTGAGCAATTGTAGACACCAATATCCTCCTTCCTAGAATAATTCATTAAAGATGTAGTAGTATATCTACCGTTGCATAAATCTTTAGAAACGTCCATCAATGTGGTCGTAGTAACAGAAGCAGTAGTAGTAGTACTGGTAGTAATACATGGAGAATAGTAACAGTAGTAGTATGGTGGTGGTGGATTACAATCTGTTTGCTGACTGTTAGTAAGATAATTACTCATCACTGTGTTATTATCATTATTATTATTATCCTTCTCGTTAATGCCATTACTATCATTATTATTACTGTTATTAATATAGCTATCATTGTATTGTTGATTAATAACAGATAGACGGAGCAATGTAGTCAAACGTTTAGTTACACAACCAGCTGAAAGACGTGCTTCTGCATCTTGGTCCCAGCATTCTTCAATTGTTTCCCACAATGTACATAAACCCTAAAAGAATGTAACAAAAAGGAGTAAATAGACAAACTGAGAGCTTTGTACTCTTCTAATTTTTTCTTTAAAAAAAGACTATAGTGTTAAGTAAGTGAATGAAATAACGACATTGAATTTTAGTCTACTTGTGGATGAGATCTCGATGTGATTGGTTGGTTTTAATATATTAATTTGCTAACCTTGTCAAAGTATATTGACTGACGACTTTTTGATGTCTTTCAAACCCAAGAAATAAGACTAGGAGGTGATAAAACTAAAAATCAAGTAGTATTGACCAATATGAAATGTACCGTTGTTTGCATAAACGTGTTTCAGCACTTTTCATGATCATTCAGTCTTACTCTTGGTTGAAGGATAAAGTAAATAATAAACTTTGAACTTAAGGAGTTCCATTGCCAACAATGAAATTGGTACGATTAATGGATCTAACATTAAAGATTGAAATCAATATGATGAATGTTACTTTATTAAAAATTTCATTTCAATCAGTTGGAGTTATTTTGAACTGTCTGATATGAATGTTAAACACTGTGTAAAGGAGGCAATTATTCCGGAATGACGAGACATGAATGTAGTGGAAAATCGTAATTTGAAAAAGAATTTCGAATATACTGTACTCATCTGCTAAAAATGAATGGAAATAATGACCGGAAATTATAGATTCAGTGAACTCATTGGACATACAAAAAATTGTGGACCATTGAATGATTTATATGTTTAAAGAAACAGAAAAATATTTTTGGTAGATATTTTGATTGGTATTATATAAATATGATCATTAACCAAATAGGGGCTTGTAATATATATTGAGCTCTGAGTTACACTTCAGTTGTATGACAATTTAATGATTCTCTATCTCATCTGAAATAGGCGAAGCTGGATTTAAATCTAAAAGCCACCAGCTGAGATCTGAATACTTCAGAAAATTAAGTCACTGTTTTACTTTAACAAGTAGATATGTAGAATGTAATGAATACCTGGAAAAGTATCAATCTTTATGAAGCATGAATTAACTGACAGATTATAGGTGAAATAACACAATAAGTACTTACTTAATTTACGCTTTCGACTTATTACAGTAATAGAATATTTAACACTAATGATATGTTCACTCACTTTACGCTATAATACATAAAATTATATTTCTAAGTACTACTGATTAAAATTTTACCAAAGTATTTGATGACGCCAAAATGAGATAGACATGACTACAAAATAAAATCAATGGTTTAGTGAATTTTTTTTTCGTAAATAATTCTCTAATTGGTGTCAGGTTGTCATTTAGAAAAAATTTAAAAACTGGTGAACAAACATAAAAGCATAGAAATTCGCCGACTAAGATAGTTCAAAAACAATTTCAATATTTTACACTGTATACAACCTAAATTCACTTAGATTTAAAGTTGGAATATATATCACAAGAAATTGTGTCTATGAGATCAAAACACATGTAAAGTGTGTATAATACTCAGATAGATGAAACTGTTACAAATTGATGCCTAGTATTGTAATAATGAACATCATAACTGATGATTGAAGTCAGCCAATAACAACCGGAACATGGAACCTGTCATATATGTGCATCGGTCTAAGTTGCCACAAAATATCTGCCGACAGATGAAAATATTAGAACAAATATCAGGGTAATAGGAATTAGAAACAGTATCAGTAGAAGACATTAGGCATAAACAATACGAATTCGTGAAATAAAAAGTGTAAGAAAATTTTAAAACTTAAAACTTAAGGAAAGGACAAAGATTGAATGTATCTGCGCAATTACGAATGATTCTGAGCCATTTCATTCAATTTTTCCAACCCCTAATCCTGTTTATTTCAGTAACTAAGTGTAAGCAGGGTAAATGAGGTATTGTGAAAGTTATTAGAGAGGAAAATTCAACCAGTCATTTGACTTTTCAAGCTATCACGTTGCATATTAAAATTAATGCTCTACCTAACACCAAGCATTTTATGTGCATCGTTATATATATATATATATATATATATATATATATATATATGGGGTACCTCAAAAGTGCCCATTTACGACCCCGCAACGTGGAATCTAGATCAGGGGGTCCGGTTTCGTGCGTGAACAATTAACCTCTAAACCACTGAGCCATCATCCACCAGTGCTAGTGTTTAACTTCAGTCTATTCAAAATAGTGCGCGACTATCTTTCAATGCCCAATGTGGACAACTGTTTTACACCCGACATGGTTGAACTCCACCTGTCAACGCTTTTCATTAAAACTCCAGAAAACGCACATGGAAGCTAGTTACTATACGGTTTTGTGGTAATCATATGCCCACTACTGACTAACTTCAAGATGCAGTCACTAGAGTTCTAATGAGATGTCGTGACAAACGGAGTTCAACCATGTCGAGTATAAAACCGTTATTCACCTCGGGCAGTGGGAAAATGGTCGCAAAATGCTGTGACTTGAATGAGGTTGAGTTAACACTATTGAGTCGCAGCTCAGTAGAGGTTGAGTGTATACTGGTGAGACCAGACGTTCTGGGTTTGATTCCTTGAAGTCATGGATGTACAATGCTGAGGAGTCCCATACTAGGACAAAGTGATCGCTCAGTGCGTCCAGGTTCTCAATGATCGTCTAAATAAGATCAGCTCGTGATTTAAACTCTATGTGAATTCTATGATCACCATAAAACTCCGTACTGATAATTCTGAATTTAATAGTTGAATTCATGAGTCAATTAAATTTAGATCACCATGGAAAACCTGGAAACACTGGACGACCGTTTCGTCCTAGTATGGGACTCCTCAACAGTGCGCATTCACAATCCCGTTCGCAGGATTCGAACCCAGGACCTATCGATCTCATGCGCGAACGCTTAACCTGAGTTGACATCCAATGGTGTTAATGCCTAAGTTCAACAAATCCACCTAATCCTCCACAAAACCCCTTCAGATAATTCTGAATTTGTATATTATAAAGATAAACGATATATTTGCCTTGGTCTTGGCTTTCTCATTTGAAATACTCATTCGGACACATGACTATAAAAATTGATGAAACGTTACTAAAAAGAACGCTATTTGATCAAATATTTCTTTTAATATGATGGAAATTTTTAATCATACAAATAATATTTTATGCATTTCTATGCTAAGATTTTACCATTAAAAATTATAAATTATCAAAGTACATGAAAAAAGGATAAAGGTCAATAAGAAAAAAGAGGAACTATCACCTCTCTGTATAATACATTCAATTGTATAGTGAAATTTGATACTATGAATTATACATCAACACAACTTACATGAATGATAATAGTACAAATTACGACAATTACTAATACAACTACTACAAAAGCATGTATTACAAAAAAAAACGAATAATAATAATGAACATCAATCAACTTTGAATAAATTTATCAAACAAACAAAAAAACTGTGGATTCGTGAATGCAATTCATAAAAATTTTACTCGAAGCTCCCTACTCCACCCTTTCCCATAGTTGGACAGCAAAAAATGCAAATGGGTGCAACATTTTATTGTTAAACGTCACCAGAGGCATGATATTCTAATCTGAAGCTTTTTAAACTTATCCCGATTTCGAAAAGTATAATTATTTGTATAATCTCAAATGATGTACGACTAGTATAAAGATGTAACAACTAAGTGTAGAAAAATCAGTGTTAATCCCTGTGTGTGTGACGAATTCAATGATTGGAGAGGTTCCTCCGTCATAAGTGAATTTTAGCGCTCTTAAACCTTTAAATTATTGATCTCCAGGCAATTCGCTACTAAACACATGGTGGTACGTTCGAATCCCACTACTCTACATGCATACGATTGACTACCACAAATTATTTTATATCACAGACTGATATTTGGTAAGATAACCATTGAAAATCAGAAGCCATGACCAGTGATGATTGTCAGTCGTATTAGGTACGAGACCTGGAGGTCTTAGGTTCGACTACTAGTACAGTAGTGGATGTACACTAATAAAGAATCCCACACTATGATGAAACAGTTATTCAATGCTCCCTGATTTCCAAAAGCCTCCCAACCAAAGTCGGTCTTTAATGCGAAATTCTAGATCCAACACTCTCCACAATACCCTGCAATAAATGTTATATATTAGTCTACAAGTTGTAGAATTCGTTTACTTTTCGTTTATTTGGTGCTTAGATTATTAAAATCGTGGTAATTAGCAGTGTTATACAACCTAAAGTATAAAAAAAAATAAGATAAGCTTCTGCCCACTGTGTTAATGTGTTCTTACATATATTCAGCTATAGCTAAGTTCACTGCTACAGCGTGAATATATATATATATATATATATATATATATATATATATATATATATATATATATATATATATGAAAAATACGTTTTCATAAATTCTCACTAGACTCTACAATTAGAGCTTATAACAAGTCTTAATCAAAAAGAAATAGCCATGTTTAGGACAAATACATTTTTTATAACTGCAAGAAATACATTTAGGATGCTTTACGATACATAAAACGCCTTAAGAGGATATTTTATTATTCTTCTATTGATAATGAAATGAATGGTACACAAAAAATTATATTTTTTTAAGAAAAAAAGAACCAAATCTATTCAGAGTTTTTTGATACTCCGACTGAATTGAACTAGGGTAAATGAGAATAACCGGTTTATTTGTTGTTGCGCTAACGAAATATGCATATGGTCAAAATTTCATCTATCATTGGAATGTACTTGGATGTGATTGTTATATTGGACAAAGTTATCAAAGCATTATTTAAATTTATGGTTTACATCAAGAACTGACTTCAACTAGTCAGTCAGTTACAGTCAAGATAGAACTTAGTGAAAATTGTGCATAAGATCAAGTAACTACACCATATTAGAACAGAGAAGTATTTGTAACTAGACAACCGCTGGGATTTGAAGACCACTGTAAAACTGTCCTCCTTATGAACTCGATTGGAGATCTATAACGATAGTAGAAAACTAGAGGAAGCGTATAACGACGATGACTGTTCATTCTTCAAATCCGGATAATTTGTTTAACCAGCAAATACCAACTTCGTCGCTAGAATGCTATTTATCATAGAATCTAGTAGTCCTATCTTTAATTCCATAAATTAAAATCTTTAGCCGAACCCTAACTAAGAAGTTTGAGTTTCTCAACTTCCCAAAATGATGTCATGTTTTGATTGGCTATTAATTTTTTCCTCAATCTTCTCTTACAACTAACTAGCATATTAACTCAGTATAAACATATGATCAGGGTACGTTGATTTGCTAGTAACGCTAAGCTTCAGCAACTTGTATTCAGTTACAACGGCGACAACTAAATTAATTTTACCACCTTGAAACGCCGAATTCGATCGTTTAGATATCTTATACGAAAATCATCCCAACGGCTCCTACAACATGTACTAATTAACGACTCTGGGACTGTGTGGAATAAGCAGATAGATGGTCAGTTTATGATATAGTGTCGTGACATGTATAGGACTGATATTTATCGGTCCCTCACGACTCCCTTGATTGAAGTCTTAGAGACAGTACAATTCAATGACTTGAGACTTTATCAGACATGGTCTAAAATAAAAGCCAGTTGAGATTGTGCTTTTTTTCTTAAATTCCCCATAAAATGAAATGAACTCCCTTAAAAAAGCCCTTCTCAGTTGTATTGTTAACTGAACCATGATATTATATTATACATTATTTTTATTCACATATTTGCTTCCTCGCTTATATCCTCTTTACTTCTGTTTTTCTAATCCTTAATGATGTCTCTTTACTTTGTGTAGCGCAGTCTATTTTTAATGACCCGTTGTTTCAGATTTTAAGTGTATTAAATAAAACACAGATCGAGTAACATATTACGTTAGTGTAAACGGGTAACCAGAATGCTTTGATTGCAAGATAGTATGACTTACAGGTGTCTGGAGAAAAATGATCCGTCTGTTCCAGTTTATTTAGAACTTCTATTCTGCTTCTTATTAGGTGTTAATAATTATTATCTTGTAAAAAATAGTTAATTTTACAACATAAAAATATAGATCTGCATTTTTGTAATAAATCTTGTTAACAGAGAAAAATTGGAAGGAAATTATATACACTCACCCCATCTGATGCCCATTGTGGATTAAATTTAGGTCGTTGTTTAGCATGTGCTACCCATCGTTGTAATGCTTCCATTGATGGTTGTGGACCTAATTCTATTTCATATGGTGCTAAATAACTAGTAATATGAATTGTTGCATTTTTACTAGAACCACAACAACATCTCATCATTAATTCCCAAAACACTAAACCCATTGCATAAATATCGATACGAAGAAATGCATCCTTTGAAAACTGAATGGCGCCATCTAACACTTCAGGCGCCATATATCGACGAGTACCCAACTATGATAGAAAGAAATTCAATAATTAGATCAGCAGTACAAAAAAATGGACTTCTATGATTGACCATCTACAATACTGCAGCATTAGATTGATAAACATACCTACTAAATGACTGGTAAATGCAATACTATTCAGTTATAAAGATCAAAGGTCAAATAATGGTATATTGTACATCCTTACTAATCAATAATTGAGTAAGCCACAAATCATAAAGTCACAGATTTGAAGATTTCCTAAAGCTATCAGATATATTTGACGGTAATAAAGTATTGACAAAGTAGGGAGGTGACTCGGTAGTTGAAACGCTTGATTTATAGCTACTAAACGTCAGATTTGAACTCCACTCTACATATTCCGGTTAGGGTAACCGAGCAGTAACACCATCCTCCATACTTTAAGTATGCCTTGAAGTCAAGAACACGATTTTGTGCTCGGTAAGAAGTTAGTAATAATGGGTTAACGGTCAAAGCAAAGGAAACTGATATAAGACAGACTACTTCTATCGACCGAGCTATAAAACTGGACTTCCACTTCATTGCAATTTGAATTGAACTAATTTATCACAATTTGTTTACACCAAGATTTTCCATCTTTCGTTTCAATAGGTCGAAATTGGATGAAGAAGTTCATGAGTTTGTAATAGTTTACCAAAGAATCCAGTCTCAGATAGTTCATATATAATGTTCGTGTTCAGTTTATAAGCTAAATCTCTATAGTTTGACAAATTGAACACAATTAAACGAAACATTTGATCAGCTGAATGTGATTAGAAATGAGTCAAACACTGATTATGCATATTAATTACGGTTACTGAGTTTCATACAAACGATAATATTTAGCAATACACAATACCACAAATCTTGAATAAGCTAAATGCTTGGCGGAAATAATTAGAAAGCTTTGGACCTAGGTTGTGTGGTATCTGGCACTCTTCAGTAAGACATACCTGTAATCACCAGGGGACTGGTGCTCTCCGATAATGGACGTCGGTCTCCTCAAGATTACAAGTACGCCTCGCCCACAAGTTTCAACTAACACGAAACCTAGGTTCAAGGCTTCCCTCTGCCAATTACTTCGACAAAAAACAACAACAGTGCACACTTCAAATAATTAAAACAACCTATTGTGTCATTGAATAAAAATAAAGAGATTCGGAGAAAATTTCCTTTTCGACGAAATCATTTACTGAAGCTGTACATTCGTATTTATCAAATGATAATAAGAGTCTTGAATATATTTATGATGCGATCTTTTTTATCCTTCTATAGACATATTTACCATACAACTAAAAAAATACGAATATAAAACATAAGTGATTTCGTCGATAAGAAAATTTTTTTCGCTGAATTCTATTTATTTTTATTCAACAGCGCACATGTTGTCAAGTTATTTAAACTAGTGGCCGCATTTCAACTCGACTGATAGAATTCGATCAGTCAGTATAAATTTCAAATAAATTATTCAGGTACCTTACTTGTTACATCATAATTTTAGAGTTGTGATAATATGTTATAGAGTTTCATTTAGATATATGAGATAATTAACAACAATACACTGAAAAAATTTACCAACCTGCAAATGTGCATCTCTCATACACTGGCCAGCCTCAAAACGAATTGCCAAACCGAAGTCAGCAATACAAGCAGTAAGATCAGACTTTAATAGCACATTGCGAGAATTCAAATCACGATGAGCTATACTAGGTTTTGAAAGATTTGGAATTTCCATATGTAGATGAGCTAAACCTTGAGCAATACCAATACAAATTTTTAATAAATCTATCCACTGTATATCATATGCATGAAGATAATCATATACGCTGCCTAATGGATGATATTCTGTTACTAACCAATACTCTAGTTTATCTTCACCAATAGAATTATCCACAATGACCTACATATAGGTTTAAAAAACACATAAGAATACAAATTATATACGAAATTAGTGAAATAACCAAACAACTGAATATACAGTTATGCAAGATATACTGAATTAATCTTCATTTATCCAACTAAAGATCTGTACAAGATGTGTGATGATTCTTGTGTCTAAACCTCTGAACTTTGTCGTGAATACATATCAGACATACGCAACACGTGGCCTAACCATCTCAGTCGATGTAGGTTCACAACCTCATCAACTGATTTACCATTATCCCCTAATACCATGCGTCTGACCTCACTATTACTTACCTGGTGATCCCAGCAGATGCGAGCAATATTTCTAAGACATCTGTAATCAAATACTAGTAACTTACGAGTATCCTCTACCATTAATGGTCACGTTTCGCAGCCGCAAAGTAAAACAGAACTGTCTTAGGACTACTTCAGCATCTCAAACTAGATAAGTCTAGTGGTTTTGACGATATTCAACCTGAGATTATGAAAGCACCGAGAATATAATTACTGAAACTCTGATAATACTCTTTGATACGTAATTGAGGCAGTTTAAACCCACAATAGACTGAAATGACACAATTATTAGTCTGATTTACAAAACGGGAAGTAGACTTAGTTAGTAAACATCGACCAGTTAGTCTAACCAGTGAAGTCAAACTAATGGAAAATGTTATTCTGATGGCTATTATAAACTACATCGCAGGGAATAATATTTTATCCAGGGAACATGGATTTAGGGAAGGCCTATCATGCCTGACAAATCTGCTCACTGCAAGAGAAGATTGAGGTACAGAAAAAGAGAAATATTCCGGTAGATGCAATTTTCGTACATCTAAGTAAAGCCTTTGACAAGGTCTCTCACCTAAGTCTTAAATTAAAACTGAAAAGTTTTTGGATCCATTATGAAATCATAAAGTGGATAAGTGACTTTCTGAACGATAGAAGACAATGGGTACGAGCAAATGGGGTTCTATTAACGTGGCAATCCGTAAAAAGTGGAAGTCACCAAGTTAAAATCCTCGGCCCCCTTCTTTTCTACTTTATGTGAATGGCTTACGAACTGTAGCAAAGTCGCCTATTCCACTCTTTGCAGATAACAAAGAGTTAGAGATCCATACACAGTATGTCAGATAGAATAATAATACAGGATGACCTGGATTCACTAGTTGAACGGATGGGCAGGTGGCCTCTAAAATTTAACTCTAACAAGAGTGTGGTGATGCAAATAAATAACTGTAACAATTCATATCGCTACACAATATGTGGAGTTGTGTTACCTAAAGTAACGAACTCAAAACTACGAGTAACAACACGACTTTCGTTGCCAAAGGCTTCAAGGTCTGATGGACTATTTGTAAGTCATTTCATTACTTGGACGAAATGTTTAAGGTATTATACCCGATTGTTTGTGAGGCAGGATTTGAAATATGTAATTCAAGCAGTAGGTCCTTGTTTTAAGTATGAGACGGATGTGCTAGAATAAGTTCGACGGCGAAAGACTAAAATAGCGAAAAGTCTCTCTGGCCTTTCCTATGAAAACAAACTGAGACACCTCGACTTATCCACCCCCAATCCCCTGGTACTACCGAGAGTGGGGAGAGTCAGCTCTCCCTCTCGAAATGCTCACATCACCACACGTATACAGCCACTACCAGGGAAGTCCTACTCAATACCTTCTCACGGTGGGAGTGTCGTTTACGAAAGTGAGAGGACGAAAAGCGAATGTCCGGCACTTTAACCGGGTTGGTCAATACATAGGACCCACCTAGGGGATTTGGAAAACCTTGATTCAAAACCAATGGTGCACATGGGCTCCAGTATCCTGAGGGAAAAAATGGCATATGAACCTGTTGTTGGTCACTAGTTACTATGGAACTGCATTCTCTTACGTTACTCCACTGCCCTGTGGATTAGACCTTTAGGTAAAATGCTCGGGTGTGACCTCCTAAGGAAACCACTTGTTTCGGTTTGGGCAACCGGGCAGCATCCCAGCCCTTAAAAAACAAATCAATGATAACTGCTACTGGCCTTATTGTTATTGTGTGGCGCATATGTATTTGGTGCCCCCATGTACCAATGTTTATGTGTTCAAATAAATAAATATACTTAAACACATATTGATACAGATTGCATTGAATTATTCGGTAATAAAAAGCGCCCTTAATTTTAAATATCTATTCATGTGATGATAGGAGCTATATATACGGTAATTACTTAATGTGATTTTAAGAGAATTTGAACGCTCTATAATACGACCTAGCATAGGCAAAATTTCGTTTTGGTAAACTTCAAAATATTATTCAGAAATAATAGAGTAATGATTTCATTCAGTCATTCGAAAACTTTAATTTGACTTAACAGCTCTTCTATATGAGTCAAAGTTAAATCAAATATTTCTTTTTGAAGATAGAAAAATATCTCACCAAAATGCCTTAACACTAACCGTTTGAGATGTTCTATACGAAGCAGTTAGTTTTTAGGCATATATAATAGCCGCTCAATTAGACAAGTAAAGGGATACTAAAAATGACATCAGACAATAGAGGTGTAGTAAATGAACTGCAAATGAAACCTGAGTGCCGTAGGTGACTTGATATTAGTATAGAGCTATCCCGCGGAAACAAATGGCGTATGAACCAAACGTTGGTCACCGGCTACCATGGGACTGCATCTCCTCACGATGCTCCACTGCCTTGTGGGTTAGACCTTTAGGTCAAAGGCTCGGGGTGTGGCCCCCTAAGAAAACCACCTGCTTCTGTCTGGGCACCCGGGCAGTATCACAGCCCACACACAAATGATGAACTGTCTAAATTCATGGAACCTACTTTTCTTGCTTCGACTAACAATCAAATGATTCACATTATTATTATTATTATTATTATTATTATTATTATTATTATTATTATTATTGATATTATTATTATTGATATTGATATTATTATTATTACTATTATTATTATAATTATTATTATTATTTGCTACGTCATTATTCACCCTCCTTTATTCCCACTCTGTCTGTCCTCACTTTTCGACTTATGCAGCAGCTCGCCTATGGCGGAAACTCGGTTCTATTTAAACGTTCTCGAGTCAATGTCCGGTTAAAAATTGTATGCTACCACCAAATACGAATACTGAAGCAGTTTTCCTAAAACTACGTGCACCATTCGAACTGGCCGCCTTCAACGTTCGCACACTTATGCAGGTCGGACAACAGATAGGGCTGGCTATGTCTTTGGAAAGTCGTAATATCGATGTCTGTTGTCTATCTGAGACCCGTATTCAAGACTCTGATGAAGCACTACAAATTCGCTCGCCATCTGTCGCTTCAAAGGGCTTGTTTTACGTGCGTTTATCCGAGGACCCTGTGGCATCTTCGTCTGGTCTTGCTGGGGTTAATGTCGTACTAAGCGCTAGAGCTGAAACGGCACTAATCGATTGGATCCCCATTAACAGTCGGTTATGTGCTGTTAGATTAGAAAGTTCCATCAAAGTGAGAAGAAATCGGCGTGAGAAACGATGTCTTTCCGTTATCTCCGCCTATGCCCCAGCAGATTGCAGCCCGGATGCAATCAAGGATGAGTTTTACCACCAGTTATCTGTTCTTCTCCAGAAAGTGCGTTCGACAGATATTGTAGTACTAGCCGGAGACTTGAATGCTCAGGTCGGGCGTCTAGGCACAGAAGAGAGTCGTTTAGGTGGCCGATGGGGACTCGTTGGTCGCAGGTCAGATAACGGGGACCGTCTACTGCAACTATGTACAGACCACAACCTGTTTCTGGCTAGCACTAACTTTCGGCACAGTCATCGCCGATATGCCACCTGGCGTCCTCCCTCTGCATCTCAAGCCTGGACTCAGATTGATCACATCGCGATCAGCTACCGCTGGCGTGGTTGTGTACAAGACTGCCGCTCCTTTTGGAGTACCTATCTGGACTGTGACCATGCCTTGATCTGCGCCAATCTTGCCTTACTTTTCAGTGGACAACGAAGTGACCACCACCAAAAGATTGATGTTAGCAAGCTGGTTGCAACTTCTGTTGCAAGTAAGTATCGAACCGAGCTAGCCTCTAGGCTAGCTACCACTCCACCGAAAAGTATAGATGAGCATTGGTTGCAATTGCAGGACGCCATGAAAATGGCGGGTACAGTCAGTTTTGGGTTCGCGAAACGTCCCGATTATATGCATTGGGTTTCGTCAGGCTCCTTACAACTCATCGAAGCCCGTCGGTCTACTCCGAGTGACCGTGAGTTTGACCATAAACGAAGGATGTTACGTAAGGAAATTGGGCAAAGCTTGAGTAAGGACCGAGAAGCCTGGTGGTCGGAGCGTGCTAATGAGCTGGAAGCAGCAGCTGCATCTGGTAACTACCGGAAGCTCTTCCAACTCATCCGAGCCACTGGCAGCAAGAAGTCTGGTGTGAGTGAAACAATCTGTGAGGATGACGGGATGCCAATCACTAACACCTCTCGACGTCTTGGACGATGGGCAGAATTTTTCGAAGGGCAGTTCAACTGGCCTGCTGCTCCAGCAACATCGGTCAGACTGTCCTGCCCTACATGGCCGGTGACAACTGATCCACCAAATGAGGCGGAAGTCCGCAAAGTGCTCCAAAGGTTGAAACGCTACAAATCACCAGGCCCAAACGACTTACCTCCGGCCCTTATTAAAGATGATGGTGACTTTCTGACTAAGGAACTAACGACGATGTTTACAAAAGTTTAGGAGCTAGAGAGTGTACCAACGTCATTGAATGAGTCGATAGTTGTCCCTATCTTTAAAAAGGGTTCACGTCGTTCCTGTAACAACTATCGGGGGATAAGTCTACTTCCGATTGCGTCCAAGCTATTGGCTTCCGTCACACTTCGTAGGTTGTTCAAAACCCGAGAAAGATTGACTCACGAGGAGCAGGCTGGTTTTCGTTCTGGTCGAGGATGTATTGATCATATCTTCACCCTCCACCAAATGTTAGAACACCGCCATACGCATCACAGGCCAACAATCGTAGTGTTTCTTGACATCAGGGCTGCCTTCGATTCGTTGGACAGGGCTGTTCTCTGGGATTGTCTATTGAAGAAGGGTGTTCCTGAGAAGTTTATTAACATCCTAAAAGCCCTATATACAAACACCTCAGGCAGAGTGAGGGCATACAACCACCTCTCTCCATTGTTCCATTCGAGCAGTGGGGTTAGGCAGGGTTGCCCAATCTCACCATTCCTCTTCAACTTTGCCATCGATGATATTCTGGAAACAGCTCTGATGGATGTAAGTAATGGCGGTGTGGATCTGTTGCCTGGAGAAAGACTTCTCGACCTTGAGTATGCGGACGATATTGTCTTACTGTGCGATAATGCCCAAGGCATGCAATCCGCACTTAATCAGTTGGCAATCAGTGTCCGTAGGTATGGTATGTGCTTTGCACCTTCCAAGTGCAAAGTACTTCTACAAGACTGGCAGGATTCTAATCCTGTACTCACTCTGGATGGTGAGCAGATAGACGTAGTTGAGAAGTTCGCGTATCTGGGTAGCTGCATAAGTGCTGGTGGGGGTGTGAGTGATGAGATCAATGCACGTATAGTGAAAGCCAGAGCGGCTTATGCCAATCTGGGCCACCTTTGGCGCCTTCGTGATGTTGGTCTGGCTGTAAAAGGTCGGATCTACAACGCGTCGGTGAGAGCAGTTTTGCTCTATGCTTGTGAAACCTGGTCTCTCCGAGTTGAGGATGTTAGACGACTCTCTGTGTCTGATCATCGTTGTCTCCGAAGGATTGATGACATCCAGTGGCAACACCATGTTAGTAATGCAGAGGTTCGGCATCGTGTGTTCGGGCACAAAGATGATAATGCCATTGGTGTCACCATCTTGAAACATCGACTTCGGTGGCTTGGACATGTTCTACGAATGTCGTCCCAGATAATTTACTTTCTTCATAAAAAGTAGTTGTTTCTTCCTTAACTGAAAGATTTCTTCTGATTGTACCTTTCCATTTCCCCCATTATTACCATTATTATTATTACTCTGCCTTACAATAACCTGGTCGTTATTATTCTTTTTTTTCTTTTACGCTCCTTGCCTTTTTTTCTCTTCGAATTCTCATTGTTTTGTGTGGCGCATATATATTTGGTGGCCTCTTGTACCAATATTTATGTTTTCAAATAAATAAATAAGAGCTAATAATTTGTGTTTTGGCAAGTCGTCTCATATCATCCCTACTTACTTTCTGTGAATGATTTCAAAGACTTTTCTGGGTAGTCATACATTATATTAACTGAAATAAACTATGAAAACATCAAAAAATGATTATTTAACTAACCTGGTCTGCACCATAATATTGTAGAATATTGATATGTTCCAAACCTGGAACATTAAAAAGTGCAACTTCTGTTTCCCAACTACGTTTCTCATTTGACGTGAATACTTTTATAGCTACATCGATTTCTTTTTTGTTCTTATTTAATGATAATTGTGATGAATTTAGATTAAAATCGTTCTGATCATCCGGTGAAGAAAATCGACCGAGCCATACTTGGCCAAAACGTCCGTGAGCTTTTAACTCAACTTTCTTTATGAATGAGCACAACTAATATACGAGTAAGAATTCATAAAACCAAAGCGATTTTTATATTTGTTGAGTTTGAAGTTAACGCAATAATGCAATCGCTAAGTGTCAGTTACACTAATAATTCATCATAGAAAATAATTGAGAAATGAAGTGAACAGACAAATGGGACCATATTTCTAGAAACATAGGATATTGACTTAATATATCAGCGAACTATTGAGAAACCATGGTTCAAGACTATCCAAGTCTTTGTCACCTATATGCACCGGGAATCACGAAAAATGCATACACGTTTTCGGTTTTAGATCACCTAATAGTTACAATTGAGCTAATCAATTAATCGTTTCAATAACCGGTGATTTCTACGTTGCAATCGGTGAACATGACAAAACAAGTATTATTTGAACTTATTCAATCTATGAGTACCAGTATCGCAGTTTTTTATCGCTAGAATGAACCATACAGTGAACGTAACTTAATCAACGAGGATTTTATTTCGAGATATTTTTCTAAATGCTATCCGGCCGTTCCTGCTACCTTGACGTGGTGCTTGGTGCTTGCTTATCGTGATGAAGCAATCGGGTTATACTGGCTGGAGCAAGCGTTCCTCAAGGTCCTACAATGTCAGGCAGGTCGGTTGAAGAATGGTAAGACTAAAATCAGCAAACCCAAGGTCCGAGGGAGAAGTCATACTACTGACTGTACAGAGATGTGACGGCAGTAAAGTGTTTCCTTCAGAGCAGCATAACAGCGAAGCTAAGGTCGACCCTAAAAATGCACACCTCACCATATCCCATGAATTTCCGTCTCCGGCGCTAAGGTCTCAACAAGTACGGAGCTAACACAGAAATTACCCACAAAAAGGTCGTGTGTAACTGACCTCAAGCAGTCGTCTCTTGGGCACTGCGGTCATGCTCTTAGGTCACTAAAACCAACTCTAACCCAATTTCCGTTTCAGATACCTCTAGAACTCTTCCACTATGTGGACAACCGGGAAGTGATAACCATCCTTCTACCTCTAACAGTGCTCAAGACCCCTGGTATTCACAATCAATTTCCTTCTTCAATTCCTATTATTCCTTCTACCTCAACTATTAACTCGAAACTTCCTCCTCAAGTGTCATCATGGCCAACGATTCTAGTGTGCAAAACACTGTCCCAGGTCTACTGAAACCTCGCTCCAAACTACACATGAGACTTTAACGTACATACCCTATGTCATATCGACCAGCAGGTCTCCTTGGCTAAGACCCTAGAATCTCGTACCATTGATGTATGCTGTGTCACCGAATCACACATAAAGGATCCTACTGTAGTCATTCACTCGACCTTGGTGGGTGTATGCATAGCACTAAGTATGAGGGCTGAACAAGCACTTTTAGAATAGATCTCTGTTAACTCACCTATACGCAGTCCAGTAAAACAGCTCCGTAAAAACTCCGAAGGATAGGAACAGACGTCATTGCCTTTTTGTCGTTTTTGACTACGCTTCTACTGATTGCAGCCCGAATGAAGTGAAAGACTAATTTTACAGAACGTTTTCTGCAAAAAGCTAAACACCCCGACATAATACTCGTGGCATGTGACTTTAATGCCAAAGAGAGTAGCTTAAACCAAACAAAGAGATATTTAGGTGGGCTACTCCGGCTCAGCGAACAGATAATGGTGACTGTCTGCTGCAAATATACTCAGACAATCGTGTATTTATAACAAGCACTAATTTTAAGCATAAGGAGAGACATCGTCTAACATGGCGACCCCTTGCACCAAACCAATGATGGACTCAAATAGACCATATTGCCATCATTCATCGTTGGAGAGGCTCGATAGAAGGCCGTCACTCGTTCTTGAATACCTGTTTGGACTACGATCATGCACTAATACGAACACGCATTTGCTTGCGCCTCACTGAACTCAAACAAATACATTAAGAAGACCCATTAGAATTTAACTTAGTGACGAGAAAGCCAAAAGTAGATTCCAGGAACAAATGAGTCCATTGTTGGGTGATTCATGAAATGAGGCCGATCCAGATGTTGCTTGCAAAGATACACAAACAGATGTGAAAACAGCAGAAACATCTATTAGTTATTCGAACCAAAGGGTTACAAAAAACCAATGGATTTCTACTAAGTCCATTGCACTGATGGATTCTCGTAAACTCATCCCATCAGGCTCTGAACACGATGAAGAACGAAAACAAATCAGATCTAGGTTAAACAAAAGTCTAAGGAACGACCGTGATCAGTGGTGGGCAACGAAAGCAAAAGAGATGGAAAAGGCAGAAGTTGTAGGTAACACAAGATAGCTTTTCAGACTAATGAAAGAAACTGGAACTAAAAAGTTAAGTGTAAGTGATACTATCTCGGAAAAAGAAGATACCAGATGTTTAGAACGATGGGCGGAACACTTTAAGAAGCAGTTCGGCTGGACTTCAACTACTTTACAACTACCCATCATTCCCAGACAGTGTGAATGGAACATTGAAGTAGGTCCTCCCCCCCCCACCGACTTTAACTGAAGTTTAAAAGGTTATAGCTAATCTGAAATGAGGAAAAGCAGTTGGTTCAGATGGATTGGCTCCAGAAGTCTTTAAGTATGGTGATCCAGTTCTAGCGATTAGGTTGACTAATATTTTAGCTAAAATCTGGGAGTTGGACGTAATCCCATCTGACTGGTCACAATCACTTATTGTCCCGATATATAAAAAGGGGTCAAATCATCCTGTGACAACCATAGGGGGATTAGTTTGACTAACATAGTATCTAAAATACTAGCCTCAGCAATTATCGCGCGCCTAACAAAGATTCGTGAACTGCAAACACGAGAAAATCAGGCTGCCTTCAGACCTGGTTGTGGCTGTACCGACCACATATTCACCATTCGTCAAGTTTTAGAACACAGGCATACTCATAGGCGTCCGAAAATGACAGTTTTTCTTTACTTAAAAGCAGCACTTTACTTTGTAGACCGAGAGGGTCCGTGGCAGTGTGTCATTGGAAGGTGTACCTCAGAAGTATATAAACCTCGTGAGGGCTCTTTACTCGAACACTATCAGTAGAGTCCGAGCTTGTGGAGAACTGTCATCTGATGTTGCAACCTCAAGTGGTGTCCGGCAAAGCTGTCCACTATATCCATTTTTCTATAAATTCATCATAGACGAACTGATGGAAATGACGTTCTCGTCGACTGAATTTTCAGGAATTGATATCGTTCGAGGAGGTCCACTTATCGACCAAGAATATGCAGATGACGGAGCACTGTTTAGCGAAGACACTGGTAAAGTGCAGAGTCTTATGGAAGCACTGAAAAGCAGCGCCAGGATGTCTACAATGTGTTTCTCCTCCTTTGAATGCAAATTGTTCCTTCAAGACATACCTGCTTCAACACCCGAGCTAACGATAAAGAGTGAAGAAGTCTAAGGCGTCAACAACTTCACTTATCTCGGAAGTCTGATCAGCCCTAATGGGTTGATGTCTGACAGAATCTCTACCCGGATTCAAAAAGCTCGTTTGGCCTTTGCCAACTTACGTCACTTATAGCAAAGGCGAGATATCCGTCTCAACCAAGGGACCAGTATACATACAAATCATGCGGCGCATATATATTCGGTGCCTCTTTGTACCAATATTTATGTGTTCAAATAAATAACCAGTATACCGCACAGCAGTTCGTTCTGTTTTACTTTGCGGCTGCGAAACGTGACCATTAATGGTAGAGGATACTCGTAAGTTACTAGTATTTGATTACAGATGTCTTAGAAATATTGCTCGCATCTGCTGGGATCACCAGGTAAGTAATAGTGAGGTCAGACGCATGGTATTAGGGGATAATGGTAAATCAGTTGATGAGGTTGTGAACCTACATCGACTGAGATGGTTAGGCCACGTGTTGCGTATGTCTGAACACCGATGACCACGACGCGCAATGCTGACTAGTGTTGGAGACGGTTGGAAGAAATTTAAGAGCGTCCAAATCAAAACGTGACATCATTCCATGAAGTCACTAACTTCTGATCTGAGCCATGTTGTTAGATGCAGACTATTTGGTTGTGGTCCGCGCGACTATCGTAACCAATGGTTCGAGACTCTGTGTGACGGCTTAGAATCAATCACAATGGCGTAGGTGTATACACTCTTTGTTTTCCCTGAAACCGTGAGATCAGAATTATGTTGTTACTTTTCTTTCTACGAACTGATTCTTTCTCTCTGTATCATATTTTTATATGCAATCTTTGTTTTATATATTAGTATCATTTAAGTATCTGCTTCTGCGAATTTGGTGTTCATTGTGTTGTGCTAGTGAGGTATGGCAACTTGGACCGATGCATATATGTGCCTGGTTCTACATTGTAGGTGACGGACTGAAACACTGCTTTGTTCTATGCCGAATCGAATCAATAATCGATGGTCCCATCTAGTTACCCTATATTTTCAGGGAAATTAGCCTCAACCTTCCTACCTTTTTCTTCTCAAATCAGGTCTAGCACAATTATCCTCCTATATGTTTAAACTTACATATGTCAATAAACTTCATTGAACCATTTGTCTTCATTAACTAAAACTTTGCACTGAACAATATCTATTTAGACGTTATACCATGCGCTATAAATGGTACGGGGGCGTGTATACACGAATACACTCAACAGACCCACGGTGCGGGCAAACGCGAAGTGATAACCATCCGCATACTTCTAACAGCACTCAAGACCACTGACTGACTCTTAACAGACTGATATTGTTACTTTTCAATGGTTGTTTCAATCATATATTTATTTATTTATTATTTATTTGAACACATAAATATTGGTACAAGAGAGCGCCAATATATATGCGCCACACAAAACAATGGGAATTCGAAGAGAAAAAAAAAAAAAACTAAGGAACGCAAAAGAAAAAGAGAGTAATGACGAAGAGGTACAATCAGAAGAAATCTTTCAGGTAAAGGAGACACAACCACTTTTTATGAAGAAAGTAAAAGAAGGTTACAGCAGGATCGCCACTGGCTTCTATTCTGAGCCATATCTGATAACGTCTCTAGCCACTGTGTAGCACCATCTCTCGGACCCCAGCCAGGGAGTCGTGAAGGACCAACACAAGCCAGTCCTTTGCAGCTTTCTTTCATGCCACGACACCATGTCATGCACTGACCACCTCTCCGCTTCTTCCAACCAGTCCCAGAGTCGGCAAATAATGCACGACGTGGAATTCTCTGGGACGACATTCGGAGAACATGTCCAAGCCACCGAAGTCGGTGTTTCAAGATGGTGACACCAATTGAGTTATCATCTCTGTGCCCGAACACACGATGCCGAACCTCTGCATTACTGACATGGTGTTGCCACTGAATGTCAGCAATCCTTCGGAGACAGCGATGATCGAACACAGAGAGTCGTCTAACGTCCTCAACTCGGAGAGACCAGGTTTCACAAGCATAGAGCAAAACTGCTCTCACCGACGCGTTGTAGATCCGGCCTTTTACAGCCAGACTAACATCACGAAGGCGCCAAAGGTGGCCCAGATTGGCATAAGCCGCTCTGGCTTTCACTATACGTGCATTGATCTCATCACTCACACCCCCACCAGCACTTATGCAGCTACCCAGATACACGAACTTCTCAACTACGTCTATCTGCTCACCATCCAGGGTGAGTACAGGATTAGAATCCTGCCAGTCTTGTAGAAGTACTTTGCACTTCGAAGGTGCAAAGCACATACCATACCTACGGACACTGATTGCCAACTGATTAAGTGCGGATTGCATGCCTTGGGCATTATCGCACAGTAAGACAATATCGTCCGCATACTCAAGGTCGAGAAGTCTTTCTCCAGGCAACAGATCCACACCACCATTACTTACATTCATCAGAGCTGTTTCCAGAATGTCATCGATGGCAAAGTTGAAGAGGAATGGTGAGATTGGGCAACCCTGCCTAACCCCACTGCTCGAATGGAACAATGGAGAGAGGTGGTTGTATGCCCTCACTCTGCCTGAGGTGTTTTTATATAGGGCTTTTAGGATGTTAATAAACTTCTCAGGCACACCCTTCTTCAATAGACAATCCCAGAGAACAGTCCTATCCAACGAATCGAAGGCAGCCCTGATGTCAAGAAACACTACGATTGTTGGCCTTTGAAAAGTATGGCGGTGTTCTAACATTTGGCGGAGGGTGAAGATATGATCAATACATCCTCGACCAGAACGAAACCCAGCCTGCTCCTCGCGAGTCAATCTTTCTCGGGTTTTGAACAACCTACGAAGAATGACGGAAGCCAATAGCTTGGACGCAATCGGAAGTAAACTTATCCCCCGATAGTTGTTACAAGAACGACGTGAACCCTTTTTAAAGATAGGGACAACTATCGACTCATTCCATGACGTTGGTACACTCTCTAGTTCCCAAACCTTTGTAAACAACGTCGTCAATTCCTTAGTCAAAAAGTCACCACCATCTTTAAAAAGAGCCGGAGGTAAGTCATCTGGGCCAGGTGATTTGTAACGCTTCAAGAGTTGGAGTTCCTTGCGGACTTCCTCCTCATTTGGTGGATCAGTCGTCACCGGCCATGGAGGGCAGGACAGTCTGACCGATGTTGCCGGAGCAGCAGGTCAGTTGAACTGCCCTTCGAAAAATTCTGCCCATCGTCCAAGACGTCGATGGATGTTAGTGATTGGCATCCCATCATCCTCGCAGATTGTTTCACTCACACCAGACTTCTTGCTGCCAGTGGCTCGGATGAGCTGGAAGAGCTTCCGGCAGTTACCAGATGCAGCTGCTGCTTCCAGCTCATTAGCACGCTTCGACCACCAGGCTTCTCGGTCCTTACGCAAGCTTTGCCCAATTTCCTTACGTAAAATCCTTCGTTTATGGTCAAACTCACGGTTACCCGGAGTAGACCGACGGGCTTCAATGAGTTGTAAGGAACCAGAAGAAACCCAGTGCTTAAAAGCGGGACGTTTCGCGAACCCACAACTGACTGTTCCCGCCATTTTCATGGCGTCATGCAATTGCAACCAATGCTCATCTATACTTTTCGGTGGAGTGGTAGCTAGCCTAGAGGCTAGCTCGGTTCGATACTTACTTGCAACAGAAGTTGCAACCAGCTTGCTAACATCAATCCGTTGATGGCGTTCACTTCGTTGTCCACTGAAAAGTAAGGCAAGATTGGCGCAGACCAAGGCATGGTCAGAGTCCAGATAGGTACTCCAAAAGGAGCGGCAGTCTTGTACACAACCACGCCAGCGGTAGCTGATCGCGATGTGATCAATCTGAGTCCAGGCTTGAGATGCAGAGGGAGGACGCCAGGTGGCACATCGGCGATGACTGTGCCGAAAGTTAGTGCTAGCCAGAAACAGGTTGTGGTCTGCGCAAAGTTGCAGTAGACGGTCCCCGTTATCTGACCTGCGACCAACGAGTCCCCATCGGCCACCTAAACGACTCTCTTCTGTGCCTAGACGCCCGACCTGAGCATTCAAGTCTCCGGCTAGTACTACAATATCTGTCGAACGCACTTTCTGGAGAAGAACTGATAACTGGTGGTAAAACTCATCCTTGATTGCATCCGGGCTGCAATCTGTCGGGGCATAGGTGGAGATGACGAAAAGACATCGTTTCTCACGTCGATTTCTTCTCACTTTGATGGAACTCTCTAATATAACAGCACATAACCGACTGTTAATGGGGATCCAATCGACTAGTGCTGCCTCAGCTCTAGCGCTTAGTGCGACACCAACGCCAGCAAAACCAGACGAAGATGCCACAGGGTCCCCGGATAAGCGCACGTAAAACAAGCTTTTCGAAGCGACAGATGGAGATCGAATTTGTAGTACTTCGCCAGAGTCTTGAGTACGGGTCTCGGATAGACAACACACGTCGATATTAAGACTTTCCAAAGACATAGCCAGCCCTATCTGTTGTCCGACCTGCATAAATGTGCGAACGTTGAAGGCAGCCAGTTTGAATGATGCACGTGGTTTCAGAAAATCTGCTTCAGTCCTCGTATTCGGTGATAACATACAATTTACAACCGGACAGTGACTCGAGAACGTTTAGATACAGTCGGAATTCCACCAAAGACGAGCCGCTGTATAAGTATAAAAGAAGGTGAATAATGTGGAAAATAATAACAATAATGATAATAATAACAATAATGACAATAATAGTAGTAATAATAATATTAGTATTAATAATGACAATAATTGTAGTGATCATAATTTGAATCAATTGATTGTTTTTCAAAGCGACAAAGGTAATTTCCATGGACATAGAGTTCATCATTTGTGTGTGGGCTGTGATACTGCCCGGGTGCCCAAACCGAAGCAGGTGGTTATCTTAGGGGGCCACTCCCCGAGCCTTTGACCTAAAGGTCTAACCCACAAGGCAGTGGAGCATCGTAAGGAGATGCAGTCCCATGGTAGCCGGTGACCAACGATTGGTTCATACGCCATTCGTTCCCGCAGGATACTGGAGCCCATGTGCACCATTGGTTTGGAATCCGGTTAAAGCGCCGGACATTCGCTTTTCGTCCTCTCATTTTCGTAAACAACACCCCCGCCACGAGAAGGCAATGAGTAGGACTTCCCTGGCAGAGGCTATATACGCGTGGCCGTGTGAGAGTATTTCGAGAGGGAGAGCGGACTCTCCCTACTCTCGGCCGTACCAGGGCATTCAGGGGGCTTGTTTCAATCATATAACAAAAACAATACACACTTGTCCTGTGAACATAATATTTGGTCGGAAAATGCAATCAACATGGAACGACAATCTAACACCAGAATAAATATATCAAAGAATCTTTTGAATAAAACTAACCTCAATACATTCACTAGATAACCATCGAAGACCTGTTATTGGATGTTTAGATAAACTGTTCATTCCAAAATACTCATTTTGAGCAACTGATCCATTTGAAATATCATCTTTGACTGTATGACCACGTGTACACACAGAAAAGCAATGCAAAGGACTATACAAGTCAGACAACTTCCCGCAGTGTGTACAAGTTTTATGCTTCCATGAGAACCGCATGCTCTTTACAAGATGAACTATGAAACAAATTTAGAATACCTACCTGTTTTAGACGACACACACGACATCGAGGAAAAAATAGAGCAAAAACGGAGAATATCAAGATTAAAAACAAGCCAATAATTATCGGAGCTGTGATTATCAGAATAAGGAAGCTATTCGTATGTTGTATATCAAAACTTTGCCTTGGTAGTGGAGTATTTCCGAGTGGTCTTGAGTTCTGGATAAAAAAGGGATCTAACCCTGTCATAAGCAAGGATCTGTTGACTTGAGCTAAATAAAAAGAGTAAGGATAATAAATGAAGTTCGCTCGAAAGCAAACGTAAAGGTTGCATTATATGGGCTTGAAATATATAAACCACTTAATAATTTCTTTACTGTTTTGGATCATAATGAGCAATCATGGGAACAGATCAGCCAAAAATGAGATCAATTTAAAGGTGAGTAGTATTTATGATAAGCTATCTACTACGTTTGACTTTAAGAGATGTGGCCGTAGTAGAATTTTAGGATGAATGAGCATTTCTATGACACATATACCAAGAAACAAGAAAACGTTTCAGAATTTGACCTGAGATAAGTATGGAAACGGTTAATTAGCTGCATTCTTAAACATAGAACACACTGAACTAACGCTCACCAAGACCTCCAGATACATCTTGAACTTTTGTATTGTTCACGATCCAAAATATTTCAAGATGAAGCTTCAGTGTGCTTAGGGTGAAATAACCCACTGAATCCAAACTCCAGACTTGAAATAGCCCCCTAACGCCAAGACGCGATCGCTAAAACTTTAATTACTTCATACTAGCTCGAAACAAAGACACGGCTTGACAGATGGTTTTATTGGAATTTCAGTATATTGACGGGGACGTTTTTGCATATAAGCAGATGGGAAGCCCAAGGCAAGCTCCAGATACTACAACAGTAGTCCACTAGACAGGTCAAGAAACTTCGTAGACGTAGGAAAAAGCAGTACAGTATGGTTATCTCGACAGGCTTTGAGCAGTACGAATCCATTTATAGTAAGACTAGGAATGTGTGCAAACCGTTGATAAGTAAGGCTAGACATTTATGCGAAAAATAATTGGTTATGGATTGTGAAGATAGCAAAAAATGTTTCTCGTATATAAAAGAAGAGAACTCAGAGAAGTGATGCAATCCTACAACTTTTGGTACAAGAAAATCAGTTGGTATTGACAAGAGATGATACCAAAAAAGCAGTCATATCAGAATAAATTTATATAGCGTTTTCTACAGACGATGGTGGAAAACCAAAAATTTATTATGATAAAGGCGGATTGCCGATGGCACACTATCAGTCACCTAAAACGTAGAACCAGGCACATATATGCATCGGTCCAAGTTGCCATACCTCACTAGCACAACACAATGAACACCAAATTCGCAGAAGCAGATACTTAAATGATACTAATATATAAAACAAAGATTGCATATAAAAATATGATACAGAGAGAAAGAATCAGTTCGTAGAAAGAAAAGTAACAACATAATTCTGATCTCACGGTTTCAGGGAAAACAAAGAGTGTATACACCTACGCCATTGTGATTGATTCTAAGCCGTCACACAGAGTCTCGAACCATTGGTTACGATAGTCGCGCGGACCACAACCAAATAGTCTGCATCTAACAACATGGCTCAGATCAGAAGTTAGTGACTTCATGGAATGATGTCACGTTTTGATTTGGACGCTCTTAAATTTCTTCCAACCGTCTCCAACACTAGTCAGCATTGCGCGTCGTGGTCATCGGTGTTCAGACATACGCAACACGTGGCCTAACCATCTCAGTCGATGTAGGTTCACAACCTCATCAACTGATTTACCATTATCCCCTAATACCATGCGTCTGACCTCACTATTACTTACCTGGTGATCCCAGCAGATGCGAGCAATATTTCTAAGACATCTGTAATCAAATACTAGTAACTTACGAGTATCCTCTACCATTAATGGTCACGTTTCGCAGCCGCAAAGTAAAACAGAACGAACTGCTGTGCGGTATACTGGTTATTTATTTGAACACATAAATATTGGTACAAAGAGGCACCGAATATATATGCGCCGCATGATTTGTATGTATACTGGTCCCTTGGTTGAGACGGATATCTCGCCTTTGCTATAAGTGACGTAAGTTGGCAAAGGCCAAACGAGCTTTTTGAATCCGGGTAGAGATTCTGTCAGACATCAACCCATTAGGGCTGATCAGACTTCCGAGATAAGTGAAGTTGTTGACGCCTTAGACTACTTCACTCCTTATCAATGGATCTTGCGATTATTGAGAAAAGAGCTATCTTAGGACCACTTCAGCATCTCAAACTAGATAAGTCTAGTGGTTTTGACGATATTCAACCTGAGATTATGAAAGCACCGAGAATATAATTACTGAAACTCTGATAATACTCTTTGATACGTAATTGAGGCAGTTTAAACCCACAATAGACTGAAATGACACAATTATTAGTCTGATTTACAAAACGGGAAGTAGACTTAGTTAGTAAACATCGACCAGTTAGTCTAACCAGTGAAGTCAAACTAATGGAAAATGTTATTCTGATGGCTATTATAAACTACATCGCAGGGAATAATATTTTATCCAGGGAACATGGATTTAGGGAAGGCCTATCATGCCTGACAAATCTGCTCACTGCAAGAGAAGATTGAGGTACAGAAAAAGAGAAATATTCCGGTAGATGCAATTTTCGTACATCTAAGTAAAGCCTTTGACAAGGTCTCTCACCTAAGTCTTAAATTAAAACTGAAAAGTTTTTGGATCCATTATGAAATCATAAAGTGGATAAGTGACTTTCTGAACGATAGAAGACAATGGGTACGAGCAAATGGGGTTCTATTAACGTGGCAATCCGTAAAAAGTGGAAGTCACCAAGTTAAAATCCTCGGCCCCCTTCTTTTCTACTTTATGTGAATGGCTTACGAACTGTAGCAAAGTCGCCTATTCCACTCTTTGCAGATAACAAAGAGTTAGAGATCCATACACAGTATGTCAGATAGAATAATAATACAGGATGACCTGGATTCACTAGTTGAACGGATGGGCAGGTGGCCTCTAAAATTTAACTCTAACAAGAGTGTGGTGATGCAAATAAATAACTGTAACAATTCATATCGCTACACAATATGTGGAGTTGTGTTACCTAAAGTAACGAACTCAAAACTACGAGTAACAACACGACTTTCGTTGCCAAAGGCTTCAAGGTCTGATGGACTATTTGTAAGTCATTTCATTACTTGGACGAAATGTTTAAGGTATTATACCCGATTGTTTGTGAGGCAGGATTTGAAATATGTAATTCAAGCAGTAGGTCCTTGTTTTAAGTATGAGACGGATGTGCTAGAATAAGTTCGACGGCGAAAGACTAAAATAGCGAAAAGTCTCTCTGGCCTTTCCTATGAAAACAAACTGAGACACCTCGACTTATCCACCCCCAATCCCCTGGTACTACCGAGAGTGGGGAGAGTCAGCTCTCCCTCTCGAAATGCTCACATCACCACACGTATACAGCCACTACCAGGGAAGTCCTACTCAATACCTTCTCACGGTGGGAGTGTCGTTTACGAAAGTGAGAGGACGAAAAGCGAATGTCCGGCACTTTAACCGGGTTGGTCAATACATAGGACCCACCTAGGGGATTTGGAAAACCTTGATTCAAAACCAATGGTGCACATGGGCTCCAGTATCCTGAGGGAAAAAATGGCATATGAACCTGTTGTTGGTCACTAGTTACTATGGAACTGCATTCTCTTACGTTGCTCCACTGCCCTGTGGATTAGACCTTTAGGTAAAATGCTCGGGTGTGGCCTCCTAAGGAAACCACTTGTTTCGGTTTGGGCGACCGGGCAGCATCCCAGCCCTTAAAAAACAAATCAATGATAACTGCTACTGGCCTTATTGTTATTGTGTGGCGCATATGTATTTGGTGCCCCCCATGTACCAATGTTTATGTGTTCAAATAAATAAAAAATAAAGTCACATTACCGCAGATTACGAGATGATATAACATTTGCTTATCGTATACTGAACAATGACCTTGGTATTAATGTCTTGTCTTTTCATTCCGTATAGGACTGATCACCTAAGACGACATTCTAAGTTCAAAAACCGAGATCAAATCGCCTAAGTCAGGAGTTCCGTTTCTCACATGGCGTAGTGAACAACTGAAATCCTCTACCAGAACACGAAGTAGTAGCACCTTCTGTTAATATATTCAAAGCGAGATCCGATCTTCACAGCACTAAAAATTGCGAGGATTAATGTAGTTCTATTGTGCTATCCTTACTTCTGAAGACTAGTTTTCGTCGACGCAATAACAATTCTAAGGTGCTGTATTTGAAGCTGCAGTCTAAATGCTATCCAATTCCTTCAAAAATTCGTGTACATCAACATAATGGGATCATAAATAAAGACAAATGATAACACAACTTCGTAATGCTTACTACTATTTCCCTACTACTGTGCATAAGATAGAGTTAATCACTAAATGATAAAATTTGTTTCCTAGACTCACTGGGAGGCGGCGATATTATGGTGTTATTATCTACACCATTGCAAAGAGGACCTTTGCAACAACAATTGGTAAACCCTTCTTTCGATTCAGATAAAAGATAACACAGTCCTGGCTCCTTAGGACAATCAGGATCCTAGAATGCGATTACATAAAGTACTGAATTTACATCCGGGGACCAATGCCAGCAATCTTGGATATGTTCAATGTGTTTATTAGATTCATTTTGCCATCGGAGTGACAATAAGCAGTGAGAGACATCACGATCGCACTTCTTTCTTCGATTCTTCCCACAGTTAGATGCTGACGGTGTACAATGGCATTCCATTTACGTATGCAAATATGCACGTTGGGATATCATTACCATTATAAATAGATTTTAACGACTACCGTAGCAAACCAAACCATCGGTACCGCTTACTTCATCTCAATCCTCAATTCGGATACAGATTCAGATTTGTATAAAAAAGATGGAATCTCTACGGCCTATGCTATTCTTTTTCCAGTATGCTCCTGTGAATATCTAGCCTTCTCTTGAACGAGTCAGTTGGAGGAGCTGACATCACTGCTTCGTAACAAGTTCCAATAATTACTGACTCGGCGTGAAGGCCCTTATGCCACGAGTATATTGTTCATTCTAGGGTTTTATAGTCGCCTACTTTATTCTGTGAGATGTACCAATCTAGTGGGAAGATGAAGAGAGTATACATTAGGTCCAAAATCATTTCTTAGTATTCTATACATCAAAATCAAATCACCTCTTACTCTGCTGTAGGACAGAGAAAAAAGATTTAGCTTTTCAAGCCACTCTTCGTATGATAAACCTCGGAGTCCTGGAATTGTACGGGTAACTAGTTTCCGCAATTTTTCCAGGATATCCAAGTCACCTTCTAAACACGGGCTTGCAGCCTGAACGTAGTATTCAAGCTTAGTTCTCACCAAGGTTGTTTATATTGTAGTGAACATAGTAGTATCCAAATTAGTGAACGTCCGTCTTAAAACCCATAGGGTTCCTGACAGCGGGACGTGGTCTTAAGATTATGCCTCATTGTCACCCCAAGATTCTTATGGGACCAGGTACTTCCCCTATGTTGTACCTATGTACCTTTATATCACCAAAGTACTTGTAGACTCACTTTGCCGCGTTGAAGGCACCGGCCTTTTTACTTAGACCAGCTAACCAAAATACCTAATTCTGTCTGAAGTTGGCATGCATCTGCGTCTCCAGTTATTCCTTGCCAGATTTTTACATCATCAGCGTGTAGTGACACTGGGGACTCGACTATACTTGGGAGTTCATTTACGTACTGTATAAAAAGTAAATGACCTAGGACAGTCTAGATCAGTCTGCTTATTGGCACCTTGTAAAATACTTTGCTGAATTTTTTGTTCTCTGTCTAACAAGTTGTTGGTTTCCATGACTTTCATTGTGGTCTTTCCAGTATTTTAACTACAACAATGGTGAGGCCGACAGGTTTGTAATCCGATTGAAGTTAACTTGATCCAGTTTTATGTATTGAACTGACCATTGTATTGAAGATGCCACAGGTATTCGGAGTTTGACAACGCCTTAACCAGTAACACCTTCTAATATGAAGCGTACCCACCAAGTGAAATCAAAAGACGGAAGCGAGGAAGTTCGAAGAAATATTTGATATGCTATCAATATATCGAGAATCGTCTGATCTAATCTGGTTAGCGATTGCACAATTCCTCGCAGTAGTCAACGCACTACCGCGCAAAGTCAACAGGTACGTAACACCTAGTATGTTTACTAGTGATGTTTCTGAACCTTACGAAACGTTGAAATGATCTATCCTTAAACGCGGAGACCTAGCCGATAGACAAAGGTCAGACCAACTCCTTAATAACATCGACCTGCACCACGGTTCTGCGATGGACATGTTGCAAGGAATGAGAGAGTTTATCGGACAAAGAACCTTCAAACAACCTTTCTTATCCAAACTTCCTCAACAGGTGCAAGCTATGCTTGTCTCGTTTCGAAACAACGCCGCGGACGAGCTGGCTTCATCTGCCGATCGCATCTTAGAGATCACGAGATCTCCTAATGCCGAGGTTTTTCAGTCAAAGAAAAGCCTCAAACGACTCAGAATGACATAACAGGGTTATGTAATACCCTTACACGTTATCTTAAATTTTGTAACGACCGTAAAAGGTCACACACTCCGCGAAGAAGCACTTCACGTAGACGCTCTTTCTCTAGACCGTGAGAGACTGATAACCCCGACTTGTGCTGTTATCATAACCAGTATGGAAAGTCCTCCAGAAAATGCAGAAAACCGTGCAATTTTCTCAACTCAAAATCGACAGACACGAAAAACAACTCGGAAAACTTCCAAGCCGACACGCGTTAACGGCAACCGCAGCCGGCGAACATAGCTGTCTGTTATACGTCACAGATGTGATAACGTGAGTTCGCTACCCTGTCGATACTGACGCAGAATTTAGCGTTCTTCCTGCGAATTTCAACGACCGGTTTCACGAATTGGTTTTAAACGTACAGGCGGCAAACGGAGAGCCTATCGCCACAATTGGGTAAAGGTACGTTTACCGTAACGTGGGTTTACTCAAACCCATACGCTGGATCATTGTTGTTGTAGATGTTTCTATGACACTCATTGGTATAGACCTTCTACAACACCATAATCTAATCATCGACACGCGCAAACGGAAGCTAGTAGACGGAACACTAATTTATCTGTTTGCGTAACTTCCTTTTCTGGCTGCAGATTATCTCCAGTCACAATTAAGCACACGATAGACCCATTCTGTCATCCACTACTCGATAAGTATCCTGGGATACACCAACCGCAATTGAAATTGCCGTGTGTGACCAGTAATGTTACACATCACATCACGACTACAGGACCGCCTGTATTCTCTAAGCACACCGACTGGCTCCCGAAAACCTAAGGTTGGCCAAAAACGAATTCGACCACATGATAGACTTAGGTATCCTAAGACCGTCAAACAGCCCATGGGTATCTCCGTTGCACACGGTCGCTAAAAGGGACAGCAACGATTGGCATCCAACTGGTGACTATCGGCGATTGAATATAAAAACCATTCCCGATCGTTACCCGTTGCCTCACATTCACGATTTGACAGCTACCTTGAAAGGTACAACTATCTTTTCAAAAATCGACTTGGTTAAAGCTTATAACCAAATTCCAATGGCCACTGACGACATTCCGAAAACAGATATCATGACACTCTTCGGGCCCTACGAACTTTTGCGAATGCCCTTCGGTCTAAGAAACGCTGCACAAACCATTCCAAAGGTTTAAAGACCACGTTTTTCGAGGTCTCAACTTCGTACATGCGTATGTTGACGACTGTCTAATAGCAAGTCCGGACAGAGAAACACATCTCAAGCATCTGGATATTGTTTTCGATTGACTACAAAAGCACGGCATTACTGTAAACATTCAGAAGTGTCAAACCGGAACTGACTCATTAAACTTCCTAGGACACACATTAGTATCGCAGTAGACGCATCCGACTCAGCAATCGAAGGAGTCTTACAACAATTGGTCAACCACTCCTGGCAACCTTTGACATTTTTCTCTAGACGGTTGCTAGACACTGAATCGAGGTACGGCACATTCGACAGGGAACTCCTAGCTATGTATTGTGCTGTACGGCCTTTTCAACACTATATCGAAGGCCGTGAATTTACCCTTTTCACTGACCATAACGCGCTCACCTTCTCTTTAAGCTCTTCTTCAGACAAAAGCTCACCTCGTGAGTCTCGACAACTGGACTACATTCTACAGTTTACTTCAGATATTCAACACATTTCTGGAGCAAACAATGTAGTCTCAGACGCTTTGTTTCGCATAACGTCCTTGAACAGTTTCCAAAGAATCGACCTGCTTAAACTCGCCCAGCTTCAAAAAGAAGACACTGATCTTCAGCACGAGTTATTGTCCACAACCCTGAAAATATGCATCAAACAGATGGGAACAGGTAAGGAAATCTTACTGTGTGACACATATATAGGTAGGGATCGACGCAATGTGTTCAACATATTGCACAAACTTTCTCATCCAGGTGTTCGTGCAACCATCAAGCTTATAGCAGAACGGTTTTGCTGGCCTGGCATGAATAAAGACGTGAGGGGGTGAGCACGCTCCTGCGTGAGCTGCCAAAAATCTAAGGTTATCAGACACAATAAATGTCCCTTAGGCTCATTTAAAACTCCCAATGCTCGTTTTGACCATGTTCATCTGGATTTGGTGGGACCTTTATCAGATTCAATTGGATACTCTTACCTCTTAACCTGCGTAGACCGTTTCACTCGATGGCCAGAAGCAGTACCTATCAAGGACATCACTGCTGAAACAGTGGCCCGCACCTTCGTCGAACGATGGGTAGCAAACTTCGGCTGCCATTCAACTATCATTACAGATCGCGGACGTCAGTTTGAATCTGAATTTTTGCGTCGTCTGACCAAAAAAATAGACCGCAATCAGAGTTTCAAGTGAAAATGAGCTCCAAAACTATTGAAGTTTGATTAACCTTTCTAATTATGGTGGTGATGAACATGGATGTTGGTAGTTGTTTATAAAATGTAGGTTGAAGTAATTAGGCGTTAAACTATTTTCGAACATTATATTCGTTGCTAATATACAGCCATAAATAGTTCTGTCCATTATAATTATCATCGTTTTTGAGTGGACTGATATATTATAATGCAACGTATCTGAAAAAGAAAAACTATATGGGTTACAATTGACGCTGAAAGCCTTTTCTGCCCGCTTTACGAACATATATAGAAACTGTGTATAACATTACTGTCAGTGCCACATTAATTGTTCGCATATTCTTCATAAGTAAAGCGATGCGTGTTTGTTTCAAGCGTGGTAACTAAACTATGTCATAGTTAATACTAATTTATGAAGTGTCTGTTAAAGCGTTAACGAATGAATTTCTGTAAACAGAATCCACAATCACTGACCAAATTATAAAGAAGTTCTAATGCATGTTGATGAGTAATATCTAAATAGTGCTTACCAATGATGTCAGTATTGTATGTGAACAGAGAATTGATAATAGTATTATAGACGTTGTAATTGGATTTTCCTCAGATTTCATATTTTCTTAATTGAGGTTTTTGAATCTGCTTGTTTGGTGCCTGAAGTTTGTTCGTTAAAACCAAGTGACAGGATGAAATTTCACAAGGGTTAGGAAATGAAGTGCACTATTCACAACTTGTAAGACATTTATAGGTACGTTCTATTAGTTACTATTTCATTTGTTTAGTGAATCCGATACTGATAACGAAGTTTAGTCGTTTATTTTACGATCGACTTGTTGACTTTTAGAATTGCATTAAGCTGAAAAGGTCTTTACACGTTCTTTTTAATATGCAACTTATGACTTCCGTCAGCTAATTGAAAGGCTCAAACCTTTCTAATAATCATGTCTATGCCGGTGAGTAAGTTAGTGAATTTCTGAATGCGGAATATTATGTGTAGAAACAATTTAGAAGTTGATGATAACCGTATTATATATTCACTCCTGCCACGTTCATTCATCTAATGAATTATATATATATATATATATATATAACAACTATACTCAGTCTTTTGCCTTATAAATCTTGTTAGGAAGTTGAATTATAGTTCAGTTCGGTACTAATACTACTTTGATAGTAGACATAATCCGAAACTGGTGAATGTTTCATAATGTGATTGCCTAATCTGTAAGATCTTACGTGGAAGCCACATCACAGACTCATCGTATTGTAGCAATTAACAATGGTACTTAATTATTCTGAAGAACACATATGTTCAATGTGAATAGTAATGAGTTACACATAATGACCATGTCTTCGAGGCTGAGCCATGCCATCCGATTAAATGAATGTCTCAATGTTCACCATTACCGACCTTCTCCAAGTGTTACATGTCGAATATACATCTTTTCAGTCATTATGTGCGTGGTTAGGAAACAGTGCCACTACAGGTATCCATCCGAATATACTGTCATAGTGAAGAAGCGTGTATATACAACACAACACTGGCGAAACTTCTAAACTGATGCTGTACTACAAGGTATTTATAGGGCAGATACTTCTTTGTTTTTAATTTCCACAAAAAGTTGCCCGTTAAGATTATCGGTATATCTCCCCACGAAATTACAAAGAAGACGAAAATAAAAATCATGCGAGTTTATAGATGCATCATCACTACTGGTACAGGAAGAACAAATTTCGATGCAGAAAGACCAGTCTACAAGTTGGATGTACAGTTAAATTAAAAATACTACTATAAAGAATTTCTTACTGTACACAGTTCCTGTCAGGTCGTCACACTTTGTTACATTCCGATCTATATTTTCTATCGCAAAGAAAACTGCACAACAACAAACGTTAGAGAAACTGCAGTCTTACCTACTTACTGATGATTCTTAAGTAAACATTGTCTTCGTCGAATCTGTACATGTTATGTTATTATGAAAGGTGTGAGTGTTATCTATCTTCCATCAATTGCAGCGTCTAAGAATATGATGAACTATATATATATACTTCGTAACTGATCGAGCTTACCTGAAAGAGTCCATTTTCTTGCGTATGCCAGTAGCATATGACGGCAAGGACACTGGCATTTTACAATTTATCTGCAGTCCAGATTACATCTGCTCGCAGTTATTTTGCCTCCAGGCAAACAGAACAGGACGTCCGCGACCAAAACTATTCCCAAACTTCACACCAATTAGAAAAAAGTTTCCCCAAAATGGGGAGATTGGGATATTACGAAGTAACAGTCGATTCAGCGTGTGAACTAAAAGACAAAGAGAGCTAAATTAATGTTCTTCGCAATGATTTTGTGGTTTTGCTGCAGCAAAAGACTACTTAAATATGAGAACACTTGGTATTCATACGACCAAACAGACAGCAAACAAACACACAGCAATTGAAATACGTACTGACCGCTTATTGTGAGGCTGCTCAAGGTCGCTGAAACGAAACGGCGGGCGACTTTGAAAAGATATGACTTTTCTACCGTGCCGTTGGGATATGTGCTTTTAGTTTCGATCTTAAGACTGCAGTAATCCGAAGCTTGTGTTATTTCGGACTATCGCTTACTGCTTTTGTTGATAAGTTCAAGTTCATCGTGTGCACTTTCTGGGGTGTTGACTCACCTTTTCTTCGGTTCTCTTTTCCAGTCCCCTTCACTCACGCTAGTCCCATTTCTCCCTTAGTAAACAAAAATATCTTGTGACTAAGCACAGGTTGCCACTTCTCTGATGAGTATCAAGCCATCTGTGGGTTGTGAGCGTTGTGTGGATTCTCTCGTGTCTCTTTGGAGCTTCGTATGTGGTTCTACTTTGTTTCTGTTCCTTCTTTACATTGATGTTTCCTCTTCGATAGTAAACTGTGTTTTTAAGTCCCTTCTTCTTCAGAGTTGTTTGCTAGTCCCCACATCGCTAATCGTTGTATCTAACGTAAGCAGATTTGTTAATGGCGTCCATCAATGCCCTATTTATGGGAACTTTTGGCGCGCATACTTTCTAGGCTGTGTTTTCGGTCTTGGATCATTCTTTGCCTTTCAATCTGCCATGAGGAAAATTCGAAGTGACTTTTGTACATTTGGAATTTATCTTGACTTCCTTGCATTTTTCCACTGGTCCGAGTTTTTTTTCACTTCCATTTACAACCTGAGTAATTGTTCACTCGACATATATATGCTCACACATAGCTCTGAATATGTTCTAGCCCTTACCGCGAGTGTACTTGAGTACTGGCTAGAGAAATACTTCCTATACGACGTGTTTTCATCATACAAATGGAGTATTACTGTTATCAACTGTCTGGGGTCTGGAATGTGCATTTTCGGCGAAGTTTTACGTAAACTAGCTCTGCTCACAGCTGGGGGAAATTTCAATCATTATGTGCAGTTCACAAAAAATCGCAAACATCAGTTGGTAACAAGTGGAGTTTACTCGTGGTTTCGCCATCCGGCTTATGTTGGGTGGTTCTGTTGGTGCATTGGTACTCAGATTTTACTCATCAATCCCTTGTGTCTAGTCGCTTATACTATAATGACATTTGTTTTTTTCAAAGGAAGAATATATGCTGAAGAAAAGGCACTAGTAGATTTTTTCGGAGAAAGTTATCGAAAGTATCAAAAATTGGTTTCTACTGGAATACCTTTCATACATGGATATGTATCTCACTAACTCATGTCGGTGATGAGGAAGTGTCATTTTATGTAAAAATTTTCCAAAATAAACCTCTCCAACTGTAGACTTCCCTTTTTCTTAAACATCCTTGTGCATTAAATTAGTCCACGGTATTGGTAGTCTAAATATTGGTCAAAGTATCTAAACCTAAGTAGAACTTTTCACAATCCCATTATAATAGGATTAGTAGAAACTGGTGTGGTGAATCCAAGTTGAACTTACTTTTAACCATAGAACTCGAATAATCTTTAAAATGTTTGATCTTCTGAAGGGTTAGTAAACTACCATTGTCTAATTCATTAACGGACCTGTTCCTAGTGTTAATTCCATTCATTACCCCAAACTTAGTAAACATTTCTCGGTTTTAAGTACTTATTTTGTAAGACAATCCAGTGTATTGTTAAAATACGTCTAGGTCCATACACATATATAACTCTCAAATGTTTTTATAGCATCCGACCTGAAAAACCAGCACCTAATGTACGTTATAATTAATTTGTAGTCATTAGCATACCTGATACTTAACAATGTTTGCAATCGTTTGTTGTTTCTACTCATTTTAGGCAGTAACACTCCATACAGACTTAGGAGATTTAAAAGTGGAGTTATTTTGTATGCAGGCACCCTTAGCTTCAGAGGTAAGGTTAACTATTATTTCAGTGTGTTAGTCTTTTTTGATAGTTTTTCTGTAGTACAAGTTGGTGATTATGCTACTTAATTCAGCTGTCTACAGAAGTTTAGCTAGGAGAAGTATCCTACTGACCTGTTCACCAGCGAGCGTACCCTATATAATTGATACGTTTCTGAAGATAGGAGGGTCAGTAAACCGTGCTGTTTACTGGCCATTGAGAAATGAAATTCAACCAGTTGGCACTTTGTTGATTCAAAGTTCGTCTCCCGAAACTCTACGCTATACTTTGCACAAAATTTCATCATTTCGCTGTGTACATTGTGTTATAAATTCGGAGAGCAAAAAGAGTATGTTCAGGCTCCCAATGTTTCGCATCAACTCCGATCCATCGATTTGGCCAGTTGAGAATGTCGCAAAATATTCTTCTTATCAGTATCCTGGGAAATTATGTGTGAAAGCAAATCTTTCTATCCGTCCATCTGTCCCGTCTTCGAAAGAAATGACCAGTATACTTATGTCTTGTCAATCATTTGATGATCAAGTTTCCACTTTTTATCACCTCACACGTTTAACTGAACTGGATATTTTGGCTAGATTTGTTCTAAGTGATAGTATTGAAGAAATCCTGGGTTTCATATTTCGTGGGACAAAAGTTTCAATATTTGGCTCTGTGTTAAATGGTTTAGGATCAGTTAGTTCAGATGTAGACCTTGTTGTTAAACTACCATTGAATTATGACAATTTACAGTATCTTCGTGATACCAAACCAAACTATTTGACGTCGGATTTATATCGAACGAAAATAATATCTTTAGATCCAGATTGTTTAAAGAACAGATTCTTATCTTTTCTACAGATGATGTTAAAGAAATTGGATCCATTAGGATTTAAATACTCAAGAATATACACTGGTCGAGTTCCTATTATTCATTTGGATCAAATTCGTGTTCTTGAAGTTGGATTGGATATTTCATCGCTTACCAAATCTCCTTTGATGAATAATGGGGAATCAAAACATTGTGGGACTAAAATGGCTGAAATTCTTCATTTCCTAACATTATGTATCCCTGAAATTCCAAAGTCTGTAGCTCTCATAAAATATCTTGCTCGTGAATTGCGTATAACTCGTAATGGTCCAAGTCCTGGATTTACTAATTTCAAATTAATTTCACTCTTTATTAACTTTTTACAAGTTTCAAATTATGCACCTTCGTTTATTCGTCTACAATCTCTCATTAAAAATTCCATCACATTGGATAGTACAAGTGCTTTTTCTGCTCACACTCATTTCCCCGATCTCAACCCATTTCCATCGATAGAAGACTTACTGAGTAACTTTTTAGTTTATGTATGCAGCATAAAACCATGTGACATAATCATTGACCTTCGTAATGGCTGTTTAACACCACGACTGGAATCTACTGGTACTGAGTATACAGACCATGTGATACCTCATAGAAAACATTATGTACTCTGTCCAGACCCTACATATCCACAATGTAATATCTGGTCTGGTATCAATGAGGATCATTGGTCAAGTTTTGTACAGATATGTCGTGCACTACAGGATACTTTAAAAATGCAGTGTAATAAAAATGAAAATTCTAAATGGGGTCTTCTTGCTTTGACTGATTTTGATGATTGTACCAAACTAAAATTTGTAAATGTTCCTGACTACTACCATCTGGTAGATCCTATTCAGTCTTAACATGTATACAAACAATTATCTTTTTAGTTTTAACAAATTTTTTTATAGAAAAATATTTATAAGTAAGATTCTAGCTTGTACATACGTTCTTGTGTCCTTACGTGTTTTTAAAAAAATCTTTGTATATGTCTTCCCTAATTTGTAGAATTTTTTAGCATTGTGTGCTTCAGATTATTATAAAGGCTGCATATTTCATCGTAATATCAAAGGGTTTATAGTGCAGACTGGGGATCCTACTGGTAAGGTGAATAATGCATGTATAACTTTAACTCAATGTGCCTGTTTTTTAAGGAACTGGCAAAAACGGACAGAGTATTTGGAAAAAACGATTCAAAGATGAATTTCATGACTCATTAAGGGTAATTTGCAACAAAACAATCGTTGTTATGTTAACAATAGCATAATGCTCGAGGAATCATGTCAATGGCTAATAATGGTCCCGATTCTAATGGTTCCCAGTTTTTCATCACCTACAGTAAACAAACCATGTTAGATATGAAATATTCGATTTTCGGAAAGTGAGTGAATTTTGAAACAAGCTTCGACCCTACTTTTTTTTACCATTAGCTACTGTTTAGTGATTGCTTGAATACAGGTGTTCCCTAATTTAGTTATCTGTTCTAAAATCAACTGGTAATTTATGCCTGTGTTCCCAATTATCTAATAATTTAGAGTAAAGTACTACAATCATTAAAGCTGTAATATAGGATAACTAGATTAAGGTTCCTCAATTAGTCATAATGGGCGTAGATCCTGTCACAAAGTATATGTTAGCCCAAGTTCTCATACCATATCGGCACAAGGTAAAACCAACAAGATGATTAGTGAACGAGTCGAAATAACAGAAGTATGAATGATAGTAAGGAAAACTAAATATTGAAATTGTTGTTCGAAAATAATCTATGTATGGAGGAATATAGAAGCTCAAAATCTAAGTATGTGTGTGGTATCTGTACCACTGTCTGGTTTTGAGTCACGTCACCCAACGTCTCAAATCACTGGTCGTAATATGTCGTAAAACTCCTCACGTACCTATTCTAGAGTTGCTGCCGGTCCTAAGCCTGGGTAAAGGAGGGTTGAGCGTAAAGTCAGCAACCCCATACCGTAGAAAAAATCTTGCTAAGAAAACGCTAACCAGATCAGACAAATTAAGTCATTTAAACTCTGCCCTGCCCCTAAATGCTCTGGTACGGCCAAGAGTGGGGAGAGTCAGCTCTCCCTCTCGAAATGCTCACATCACCACACGTATACAGCCACTACCAGGGAAGTCCTACTCAATACCTTCTCACGGTGGGAGTGTCGTTTACGAAATTGAGAGGACGAAAAGCGAATGTCCGGCACTTTAACCGGGTTGGTCGATATGGAGGATCCACCTAGGGGATTTAGAAAACCCTGATTCAAAACCAATGGTGCACATGGGCTCCAGTATCCTGAGGGAACAAATGGCATATGAACCTGTTGTTGGTCACTAGTTACTATGGGACTGCATTCTCTTACGTTGCTCCACTGCCCTGTGGATTAGACCTTTAGGTAAAATGCTCGGGTGTGGCCTCCTAAGGAAACCACCTGTTTCGGTTTGGGCAACCGGGCAGTATCCCAGCCGTCACACAGACCGAATGATTTATGTGGCGCATATCTATTTAGTGCCTCCTTGTACCAATGTTTGTGTTTAAATAAATAAAACTCTGTCCTGGAAGTTAAAGGAAGATTTATTACACCACAGGATAAAAATCGAGATTCTTCGGAAGTCACAAGGTTGATGCCTCTTCTAACAACCAGAGCAACAACTTTCATAGGTACATGGAAAGTTCGGACAATGCGGGAGACTGGGATGTCTAATCAAATAGCAACGGAAATGAAGAGATAACTTGACAGTATTCGGAATCAACTTGAACCCATTCGGCCCAAGCTAGAAAGTAAAAGCTAGATACGGGAGAGATGCTGTACTCCAGTCAGTCAGTCAGTAACAACGTAGAACTTCTTACGTACGTACATCAGTTCGAGTTGCCACACCACATTAGCACAGAGATGCAGTGGTCAACTCAAATTCCGTAGTGTTAGAAGTAACAAGAGTATAAGCAGTAATCAGGAAAATTAGTGTTTGGAGATGTTATTTAAAGATTATAACACAGTGAAATAAATTTGGGAAGAAAAAAAAGACGAGGAATAAGGAGATCAAAATTTGGGAGAACACAAAGAGTGTATGCACCTGCGCCATTGCAAACGATTTTGAGCCATGTCATTCAGGGTCTCTGACCATCGGTTGCTATCATCTCGCGGTCCCCAACCAGGTAGTCTACACCTACCAACATGACTCAGTCCACTTGTCAGTGACTTCATGGTCTTGTGCCATGTTTTGGTCTGGCCGCCTCCAGCTTTCTTCCAACCTACTCCCATACCACTGAGCATCGCACGTCGAGGCAGTCAGTGGGTGGGCATACGTAACACGTGTCCCAGCCATCTCAACTGATGAAGTTTCACTACTTCATCAATTGATTTGCCATCCTTACCTAGTACCCGTTTCCTGACAACTCCGGTCGCGTAGGGAAATGCTCCACACACTCAGGGAGTTGCCCTGGTGCTTCAACAATTAGGTCATATGTGGCACAATATCCCCACACGAACGCATACACAAAGCTACATGGGTCTCACCGGATCACACCTCGGAGAACCAGATAGATCACATTTGTATCAGTAAAAATTTCAGAGGGACAATAAAAGACGTGAGAAACAGGAGAGGAGCTGACATAGCTCCAGATCACCACCCGTTGGTTGCCAAGATGAAACTGAAGCTAAAAAAACACTGAACAACTGGGTAAACAGTAGTACAAAGGTTCAATACAGCCTTCCTGCGAGATACTAACAAACTCAACGAATTCAAGATAACTCTAAACAACAGGTTCCAAGCCTTACAGGATCTACTGAAAGCACCGACGAACTGAAAAGAAGGACACCTCATCAAGATACCAAAGAAAGGAGAACTCAGCAAGTGTAAGAACGACAGAGGGATTACACTACTGTCAGTACCATGAAAAGTTTTCAACAGTGTTTCCGAACTGTACGAAAGATGCAGTGTACGCCCAACTTCGAGATCAATAGTCTGGATTCCGCAAGGACCGGTCGTGCCAGACGAAATTGCAACACTACGGATCATCGATGAACAACCAGTTGAATGAAACTCGTCACTATACATCAACTTCATTGACTATGAGAAGGCGTTTGACAGTGCGGACAGGAGAGCATTATGGAGCCTTCTTCGACACTATAGTGTACGTGAGAAGATCGTGAACATCATCTAGAATTCATAAGACGGAATACAGTGCAAAGTGGTGCATGAGAGACAGCTGACAGACGCATCGCAAGTGAGGACGTGTGTCAGACAAGCTTGCTTACTCTCTCCCTCTTTCTTCTGGTGGTCGACTGGATTATAAAGACCTCGACATCTGGTGGGAAGCACGTAATACAACGAACAGGTTATTATTTATTTCAATAGTTGAGATTATGAGTCAATTGAAGCTAGACAATCATGGAAAACCTGGAAGCACTGGACGGCCGTTTCGTCCTATTGTGGGACTCCTCAGCAGTGCGCATCCACGACCCTGCCTCGTGGGATTCGAACCTTGGACCTACAATCTCCACAAAATCCCTGGTATTATTTATTCATTTGAACACATAAATATCGGTACAAAGGGGCACCGAATCCATATGCGCTACACAAGTTACTTGATTTGTGGAATAAAATGGACAGGTTGGATGCAACTAGGTGATTTGACTTAGAAGATGACCTCGCTCTTCTATCCTATACACACGAACAAATACAGATGAAGACAACTAGTGTAGCAGCAGTCTCTGCATCAATGGGCCTCAAAATACACAAAGGAAAAAGCAAGCTCCTCAAATACAATTCGGAAAACACTAATCCAATCACACTTGTTGTAAAAGTCCTGTAAGATGTGGAATCTTTCACGAACTTGGGAAGCATCATCGATGAAAGTGGAGGATCTAATGTAGACGTAAAGGTGGGGATTGGCAAAGCAAGGACCGCATTCCTACAATTCAAGAACATATGTAACTCAAAACGACTGTCAGACAATGCAAGTCAGAATCTTCAATGCGAACGTCAAGACAGTTCCATTGTACGGAACTGAAACATGGCGAACTGCTACAATCATCATCAAAAGAGTACAAGTATTTATAAACAGTTGTGTAAGCGAGATACTCAATACCCGTTGGCCGGAAATCATCAGCAACTCCCTACTGTGAGAGAGGACAAACCAACCTCCAGCTGAAGAGGAAATTAGGGAAAGACGTTGGAAGTGGATAGGACATACATTACGGAAATCATCAAGCTGCATCACGAAGCAAGCGCTAACTTGGAACCTTGAAGGGAAAAGGGGAAGAGGAAGGTCGAAGAACACACTACGCCGGGAATCAGAAGCAGACATGGAAAGGATCAATAACAACTGGAAAGGATTGCCCAAGACAGGGCAGCCTATGCTCCTACCCGAAGAGTAACAGGCGTAAGTAAATAATATATCGTAAGTCTTGTTTCACAGTCGTATTACAATACAGAGCGAATTGTCATCCAGTATACTCCTCCTTTGGTTAGCAAATAGGAATTTCTACGTGATAAAGTGGGCAAGAGCCAATCGAGTTTTCCGAATCCATTTCAAATGTGGAATTCAGTACCAAAGAAAGTGAGTACAATCGAAATATCAAAACCAACCTTAGATAACTCCACGTAGATTTTCTTACTGTTGTGAAACTTTGAAAAACCTGTTGTTCGTTATTGCACTTTGATATGGCTGCTTTGATTCCATTTTCACATTGTTTTTCATCCTACCGCGATGTATATGCAATACTTAATAGTCAATTTGATTTATATCCGTTAACCACGTTGCTAAAAGATCGGTCGGAAAAAATTATGGTAAAACCACTTATTATTGATCCAATAGTTCGAACATGTCTAGTATTAATATTGCTATCTAGTTGGATTGTTTGGTCCTCCTTAATAATGGAATTTAAAGTGTTCATTTCTTTCTGTTTATGGCGCCATTGTGAAAGATTCTAAGATATGCCAAATAAGGTATGCATCTGTGTAGTTCTAATATATCATATATATATTATGAACGAACTATCCTGTAATCTTTTTCACTATACTTAAGAAATTATCCTCTTTCATATTATTTACTTGTAATCCTGTATATCCTGGTAATCAATGCAAATCAGATTTAATTAAAGTGTTCTGATACTCTAGTTAATTATTTAGCTGAAAAAATTTAGCATTTAAATAGTTGACTGGTTTCTAACATCATTATGTTTATTATTATCCATGCATAGAAGTAATCAGTTATTTATTTTGTTACACGTGACCAGTGACTTGATGATTAAAGAAACTGAGCTTTCAAATAAAGTCACAAGTTCGAATTCCACCAAATGGTTTCGTCAACCTCCACAATTTATTCTAATATAAGTATTTTATTCATTTAAGTTCACTTTGTTTTCAATAACTCTTGGTTTATCAAGATCAAAGTTTGTTATAAAATAACCAAAGAAATTAATTCAAATTCACTGTAAACTAAATATTAAATTAGTATTGAAAATAGTTCGATTCACATTATGAAGTGACGTCATTTAAACATTTATTTCAAATCCAAAGCTGTAGCCTGTAGATTTATTTTGTTTATGTATTTAAACACAAACATTGGTACAAGGAGGCATTAAATAGATATGCGCCACATAAATCATTCGGTCTGTGTGACGGCTGGGATACTGCCCGGTTGCCCAAACCGAAACAGGTGGTTTCCTTAGGAGGCCACACCCGAGCATTTTACCTAAAGGTCTAATCCACAGGGCAGTGGAGCAACGTAAGAGAATGCAGTCCCATAGTAACTAGTGACCAACAACAGGTTCATATGCCATTTGTTCCCTCAGGATACTGGAGCCCATGTGCACCATTGGTTTTGAATCAGGGTTTTCTAAATCCCCTAGGTGGATCCTCCATATCGACCAACCCGGTTAAAGTGCCGGACATTCGCTTTTCGTCCTCTCAATTTCGTAAACGACACTCCCACCGTGAGAAGGTATTGAGTAGGACTTCCCTGGTAGTGGCTGTATACGTGTGGTGATGTGAGCATTTCGAGAGGGAGAGCTGACTCTCCCCACTCTTGGCCGTACCAGGGTATTTAGGGGCTTAACCTGTAGAATCACTTGTCTTTTGATTGTCAAGTGCCTTTACTGGAGTCGTATGATGTTTAGAATATATCTTAAATTTATTGGACGAAAGTATTTAGTAAATTGTGTTTATGTGTTTCCTTGAAGTGTTTTCTTTATATACATGCGAACAATCATGTAATATTTTGTAATTAAATCCATTACTATTACTGTTATTGCTATTGTGTTTACTTATTGCCCAGAGTAATTGATGGATGGGATGTTTTGGATGAATTAGAGCGTTCCCCTGTTGAAGAAAAAACTTATAGACCTTTAACAGATATTCATATACAAAATATAACAATCCATGCTAATCCATTTGCAGAATAATAGTGTATTAATGTTCATCTTGCAATTTTGTAAATATACTCTGATCAGTTGTCAATATATATGTATGTTTCTACTATGACTTCTTTTTGTTATCACTAAATAAATGTGTATGTTGTTTCACACGGTAATTTTACAAGCAGTCTTCATTATCTGTTTAATTTCAACCTTTCAAGAACTAATGCTCTTCCCACAGATTTTGGTTTATTTATTTAATATGTAAATAGTACATCATCACCAGGTTTAAGATCCTAAAAATGTAGACGTTACCTTTGGAAGTTCGTTGAGATTGATCTCTCTTCAGTGCATGTCAGAGACTAACTTCAGTTGGACAACTATTTAAAACTAACGTACACGAAAAATCTGTTTCATTTTAGTATGAAATAACTCCGCCTGGAGTCCCTCCGGGTCTACTGCCGGTCCCAAGCCCGGATAAAGGAGGAGGGTTGGGCATGGGGTTAGCGTCCCCATCCCGTAGAAAACTAACTCGCTAAAAAAACGCTAACCAGAAAAAAATTATTCAAACCTTTTAAACTCTGCCCTGGGAGTCAGAAGATCTTCATTTAGAAGAATTATGACGCCTCATGATGAAAGCCAAATCCCTTCGGAAGTTGCGAGGCCGATGCCCCTTCTGACAACCAGAGCGACCATTTATTTAGGTACATGGAATGTTCGTACAATGTGGGACACCGGAAGAGCCTTCCAGATTGCTGCAGAAATGAGAAGATACAACCTAGAGGTACTTGGGATCAGTGAAACACATTGGACACAAGTTGGACAACAACGACTAACTACAGGAGAGCTCCTGTTATACTCCGGCCATGAAGAAGAAAATGCACCACATACACAAGGAGTTGCATTGATGCTGTCCAAACAAGCGCAAAATGCACTTATAGGATGGGAATCTCATGGACCAAGGATCATCAAAGCCTCGTTTAAAACAAAGAAAGAGGGCATTTCAATGAACATCATCCAATGCTATGCGCCTACCAACGACTACAATGAAGACGCTAAAGATCAATTCTACAATAGGCTGCAGTCAATAGTCGAGAAGTGCCCAGCAAAGGACCTGACCATTCTGATGGGAGATTTCAATGACAAGGTTGGAACGGACAACACTGGATATGAAGACATCATGGGACGACACGGACTGGGAGAAAGAAACGAAAATGGTGAGAGATTTGCAAATCTATGTGCCTTCAATAAGCTGGTCATAGGCGGCACCATATTCCCACATAAACGCATACACAAAACCACATCGACTTCACCGGATCACTCTACACAAAACCAAATCGACCATATTTGCATCAACAAAAGTTCAGGAGGACTATAGAGGACGTGAGAACCAAGAGAGGAGCTGATATAGCATCAGATCATCACTTACTGGTCGCCAAGATGAAATTGAAACTCAAGAAGCACTGGACAACGGGGCAGACAGTATCACAAAAGTTCAATACGGCCTTTCTCCAAGATACTAACAAACTCAACAAATTCAAGATAGTCCTCAGCAACAAGTTCCAGGCCTTTCACGATCTACTCAATGGAGAAGGAACTACTGTAGAGAGCAACTGGAAGGGGATCAAAGAGGCAATCACTTCAACATGTCATGAGGTCCTGGGTCACAAGAAGCACCATCACAAGGAATGGATCACTGTTGGTACACTGGATAAGATTCAAGAAAGGAGGAACAAGAAGGCAGCGATCAATAACAGCCGAACAAGAGCAGAGAGAGCCAAGGCACAAGCTGAATACACGGAAATAAACAAACAAGTGAAGAGGAGCATCAGAACCGACAAACGTAAATATGTGGAAGATTTAGCAATGACGGCGGAAAAGGCTGCAAGAGAAGGAAACATGAGACAATTGTATGACACGACAAAGAAACTCTCTGGAAATCGCCGCAAACCAGAACGACCAGTGAAAAGCAAGGAAGGCAAGGTAATCACCAACATTGAAGAGCAACAAAACAGGTGGGTGGAACACTTCAAAGAACTCTTGAATCGACCAGCTCCACTGAACCCACCCAACATCGAAGCAGCACCCACGGACCTCCCAATCAATGTTGGCCCACCAACAATTGAAGAGATAAGCATGGCCATCAGACAAATCAAGAGTGGCAAAGCAGCAGGACCGGACAACATCCCAGCAGAGGCACTAAAAGCAGACGTAGCGGCAACTGCACGGATACTCCACATTCTCTTCAATAAGATTTGGGATGAGGAACAAGTACCAACAGACTGGAAAGAAGGACTACTGATCAAAATACCGAAGAAAGGCGATCTCAGCAAGTGTGATAACTACAGGGGCATCACTCTTCTCTCAATACCGGGAAAAGTCTTCAACAGGGTATTGTTAAACAGGATGAAGGACTGCGTAGACGCCCAACTTCGTGACCAACAGGCAGGATTCCGTAAGGATAGATCGTGTACAGACCAAATCGCAACTCTACGGATAATTGTGGAACAATCAATTGAATGGAATTCATCACTCTACATTAACTTCATTGACTACCAGAAAGCGTTTGATAGCGTGGACAGAACAACACTATGGAAACTTCTTCGACACTACGGCGTGCCTCAGAAGATAGTCAATATCATACAGAACTCATATGATGGATTACACTGCAAAATCGTGCATGGAGGACAGTTGACAAAGTCGTTCAAAGTGAATACCGGTGTTAGGCAAGGTTGCTTACTCTCACCCTTTCTCTTTCTCCTGGTGATCGACTGGATCATGAAAACGTCAACGTCTGAAGGAAAGCGCGGGATACAATGGACATCTAAGATGCAGTTGGATGATCTAGACTTCGCAGACGATCTGGCCCTTCTATCCCAAACGCAACAACAGATGCAGGAGAAGACGAACAGTGTGGCAGCAGCCTCAGCAGCAGTAGGTCTCAATATACACAAAGGGAAAAGCAGGATTCTCCGATACAACACAGAATGCACCAATCCAATCAAAATTGACGGAGAAGATTTGGAAGATGTAAAAACCTTTACGTATTTGGGCAGCATCATTGATGAACAGGGTGGATCTGATGCAGATGTAAAGGCGCGGATCGGCAAAGCAAGAGCAGCATATTTACAACTGAGGAACATCTGGAACTCAAAGCAACTGTCAACCAACACCAAGGTCAGGATTTTCAATACAAACGTCAAGACAGTTCTACTGTATGGGGCAGAAACCTGGAGAACTACAAAAGCCATCATCCAGAAAATACAGGTGTTTATTAACAGTTGTCTACGCAAAATACTTCAGATCCATTGGCCGGACACTATTAGCAACAACGTACTGTGGGAGAGAACAAACCAAATCCCAGCGGAGGAAGAAGCGCTGGAAGTGGATAAGACACACATTGAGGAAAGCACTGAATTGCGTCACAAGGCAAGCACTAACTTGGAATACTCAAGGTCAAAGGAGAAGAGGAAGACCAAAGAACACATTACGCCGGGAAATGGAGATAGACATGAGAAAAATGAGCAAGAATTGGATGGAACTAGAAAAGAAGGCCCAGGATAGAGTGGGTTGGAGAATGCAGGTCAGCGTCCTATGCTCCATTGGTAGTAACAGGCGTAAGTAAGTAAGTAAGTTTAGTATGAAATGCCGAGAAACCTCAAAGTCCTATGTTGTTCAGTTCACAGCGTCCGTTGCTGAGAGGAAACATACATACTAGAATAAGACAACTTTCTAGCGATTTTCAGTTCGCGACGTTGTCTAGACGGTAAATTCATAATGTTAACTATGGAATGTGTACATTCTAAGTGAAAATCTTACAATATACACCATTCATCTATTGAATAAATGCAGAATTAGTCAGCATTTATATGAAACTTTACTCAATTAGTATAAAATCATCGAAATTGTTGACTATTTCGCACATGCTATGGTAATTTTATCTATCCTAGTGAAGTGACTAACAAAAGTCTGAGTTCCACATACTATCTCATATCACTCCTGGTTCTTTAAAATTGTCTTTTTAAAAATATCGAATTAGTATACAAAACACTACCATCTTAATATATATTTAAAAAATATAGTCTGAAAGGGTAGATGATGAGGTTCTTTCAAAGAACTGCTGTCATTTGTAACTATTAGAAGAGTATGGGGCGTTACGAATTTATTTAGTGGGAGTAGAAAATTAAATTGTAAACTCATGATTTTTAGGAGACATTTTAAGTTAACAGCATAAATTTACATGGTTTTTTTGTATGAATAGTAGCATTGAAAATGATTAAAACGTTGGAAATTAATGACACTAAACCATGGTGCAGTTGTCATTTTCATCTGAATAAATGCACCCAAGGTTTGATAACGTCAGAAGACAGTTTATTTTGTGTAGCTGTATACATTTATGTGATAAGTCTTGCTAATTGAACGCTATATTCGGTTCTCAAGCTATTCTCGTAACCCCCAAGCTAGAACTACACTGCGACCTGAACACGAGAAGAAAGGCGCAAAATATGCGAGAAGCACTTTACTCCAAAGGTTCGTTTTAGTACAGAAAATATAGGGTTTTTATAGTATTTTAGATATCCTTGGGTTTCCCGAAAATTCTGGAATGCCAATAAACATATTAACAGTATCGTAGTCAGCCAATTAGAAACTACATGTGAATTTTCATTTTCTTGATGCGTCTGGCTTAACTTCTAGTGAACGCTGTTGAATAAAATGCTTCTTAGTGTTTCCTGAGCCTCTCCTGGCTTCTGGGAGAAGTTTTCTGGATCATCCCAACATTATGGTTCTATATTTTATGATCAGTGTAGAGTAAAAATTTACATTTCAGATGATGAAATCAGTAACAAACGCTCAGCATTAAGCACAGACAAGGAAGGAATAGTGGATAGTTTCACATGCCGGGACAGACGTTAGTTGATCAATAGGACGTGTTTCGAGAAGATTATCCACCGTAACAGTAGCTACTCATAAGTAATATATTTATATATCATTGCACAATTGAACTCATGAGCCCCAACCTAGTTTGTAAATCGAAATTACCAAATAGG